CAGTGTCGTAGAGTGTAAGAGAGTATGAGAGAGTATGAGAGAGTATGAGAGAGTATGAGAGAGTGTGAGAGAGTGTGAGAGAGTGTGAGAGAGTATGAGAGAGTATGAGAGAGTGTGAGAGAGTGTGAGAGTGTGTTAGAGAGGATGAGAGAATGTGAGAGTTTGTGTGAGAATGTGAGAGAGTTTAAGAGAGTGCTATGACTACAGTTAGAGGGAGAGAGTGTGAGAAAGAGGAAGAGAAACAGAGGGCAAGAGTTAGAGCGAGAGAGTTCAGTATTTGACGGAACTCGGAGCTAGGTTAAATGCAAGAGAATAAAGTCGCGGGGAAATATTTCATCAGGGATTTATTTATGCTTCTAATATTGTTAATATTGACATGTTTATAGTTTTTACAGTTGAACTGTATTCTTACTTCTTTGTATTTTATATTCTTCCTTTTACAACAGTAGCGTGTACACAGGGCCCGTGGGGGAGGACAATAGTCCTCTTGCCCTCCCCCTGAACAGCCCAGGGGGGCAAAGGTTTTAACCTGGAGTTGTACAGGGATACCTACAAAGAATGAGACTGTAAAGACGACCCGAAACTCTAAAAATATGACGATTTAAAGCTTTATAGTTGATTTATGCTTTTAATTGAGTATTATGATGCTTTGTGGGTAACCCTGTATGTAAAAAAATGAGCTTTTCCTTATTTATAAAGAGGATGTTATTTCCCAAAAAGGTTGTTTAAAGGGGACATGTAGATTGTAGAGTTAAAAAAGAGCTATTTAGGGGCAGGGGGGGGGCAAAAACGCCCTAGCTGTAAACGTCCTTTATACGCGCCTGTTTTACAACGGTAGATTCTGTGGGATGACTGGTTTTAGATAAAATGCTTTTTTTCACTATGTAACGAAAAAATAACAATGTTGATAGTAGAAGAAATGCAAGCAAATTATCATTTATTATTTTGTAAAATGTATTTTAAATATATGTAACTTATAATAAACTAGGCTACATGAAATCGAAGCGTTGAGCCTTACGTTAACGTCATTATAACTAGTACAAAAACTATTTTTTGGTATCTTTACTGTCATCATTTTGTGTTTATAAATATCAAGATGAAATCTGTGATAGATTTAGCAGACTATTCCCAATTTCTTATTATAATCTTTATTTATAAAAAGCATCTTGGGATGAATTCTTTGGTTTCCTGGGATCCTAATCTAGTGAGATCCCAGGATTCAAATCCAAGCTCAGAAAATTCCCGTGGCTCTTTCGAGTTCCCCAATCAAAATTTGAGGCAAATTGTCAATGGATTCCTAAGTTTTGAAGGGACTGCAACAAGTCTCAAGTACTGAAGATAAGTCAACACATCCAGAAATATATTTTGTTTTGTAAAATGGAAAGTAAGCCTTTCAAAACTGATCAGTCTTAGGAATTTTTGTCGCCAACTATGATTTTCTAATCCCAATATCGTTGCAACCCAAATGTTGTATACCTTAGATATGTCAAACCCTGAATTCTGTTAGATCAAATAATCTACATTTGAAAAATTAAAGGTTTACGCCATCATGTTGCAAAGATATAGGAATTAGAAAATTAGAGTTTGTGGCAAAACTAGATTTTTATTGTGGGTAAACTAGATTTTTATTGTGGGTTTAGCAACACAAAATTTCAGTTTAAAACATTAAAAAAATGTAAAAGCAAAAACTCATTATTTTTCTAAAGGTTAACACAGAAATTTTCCCATATTATAAAACTTAAACATATGTTTTTTATATTATAAAAACAGGCTAGTTAAACAGCTTCAATTTTTTCATTTCTCAAAACAAATCGTTTATATGCAACGTATACCTTGAAATTCTGTCGCAGAAGAATTGAGGGTTTACAACCAGCTCTGACATATCTTTGCAAAGCAATGTCACAAATCTTAGATATTTTGAACTATCAATTCCGCTAAATCAAATAAACTATGTTTAATATATATCTAAGAGTTAAACCTTCAGACTGCAAAATTGTAGAGTTTCGAAAATTTTAGCTTCTTGCAAAGACTCAATTCCTTTGAAAACATGTAATGAATAAAATAAAATTGTTGTTGACAATTATTAGTTAAACACAATTTTTTTGAAGAAAATATGGATGACTATTGACTAAAATTTTGTCAAATATGGACGAAGTCTCGGAAAACATGAGCTCCCAGTTTAGGTACAAATATTAAATTTTATTGTTTTCAACTTGAAATATACAAAAAAATGCTTCAAAATCAATTCGTTTTTCATTGACTTTAACGACTTTGTATAAAAAGATTCTGTACAGTCGTGTATATCAATACAACCAGGACGACCATGATTTTAAAGAGCATGGATACACATATAACTTGTAAACAAAGAGAAGCTGTCAATTAACATCTTCTCTTTGTTTCCCTATTCACTTGTAATTTAACAGAAACATGCTAGAAATCAAAACCTAAATAGAAAAGTCGTCTTCATTGTATTGATATAATACCGACCACTGTAGTTGACGGGTAACAGACTTTTGCATAATATTTAAAGTTTAAGTCTGCATTTAATAATGGCAGCCTGCAGAAATCAGCTATTTTATCAAATACTATAGAAAGTAAGGACAAATAATTAAAAAATATCGAGCGTAACATTTTCTTCACAACAAACTTGAAGTCGCGTTCTCAAAACTTTTCTTGCAATTAAATGACACATGTTTTGATGTACGCAAAAATATCAGAATATCAAATGAATTCTGCCAGTCTACATTTGTTACATAAAACGCGCTGGGTCCACCACACACTTTGTTTACTAGACGGGCTTGTACGAGTAAATACGATTACACTAGACCGGTAAATCCTCGTACCGGTTCGAATCATGCAACAATAGAACTCTGTGAATAGGTACATTTGAATTTATGATTGTTAAAGGATGGAGTGTGGAAACCATACTGATGAAGATTTGGAACTTATTTCTAGCTTCAACTACTGGCTGGAAGGAGTGCTTATGGTAAGAAATATAAAAGTTTAAGAATACAAGTCATGAGGCCGATCCGCCAAAAACCGATTTCAATTGAGCGCCGGCTCAAATATCGAAACACTGAATACAATTTCAAGGAGAACCAACCATGTTTGAGTCGCGTTTAAAATTTGAGACGCAGATGAAATTCTTTCAACTCGACCTCTGAGGTCTGATGTAAATTAAATGCAAATATTTGTAGTTTTAGCCAAACATAAAACAAGGAGATTTAAAAAGACTTTTCAAGTTTTTTTTCAACTAATGTAGTAGTTAATAAATCGGTGATGAAGTGAAGGCCGAACCTTTCATTTCTCAACATGACAGGCTGCTGATTGGTTGAATTTTAAACTTCTTTCTCGGATATAGATTGCGTATTGACCTTATCTCGGGTTTAGTAAAACCTAAGGGTGTAATGCACGGAAAGTTAATTGCGGTCGTGTATACTCTGCGTACATATTGAAACCAGTTCTCTCTGGGCGGAATTTGTAAACAAGAATAGATGCATCAGTGTTTTTTAGTATCCGAGGAGGTTAAAAGCATTACATTTGATAATTTTGATAATTCACATAAAAGTTTCCTATGACTAGAATATTTCATTGATTTTTTATGCGAAAGGTGAATCCCATGTAAGGCTCCGACATCCGTCGTGTATTTACATTACCGACCAGAGACAGTACACTGCAGTACAAAAGATGCGTACACCTCTAAAATAAATTTCCTTGCATTATTACCTTGTATTATAACCTTGCGCGGGACTATATGTGTATGTTTTATGAGTTTGGGTGCACGTTTTTACGTTTTAAAAGAGTTTTTTCATTCAACAAACACCTAGTAACATCTATTTTGTGAGCACTGACAATTTTTGTCAGAAATCTCGATAGTACAATATAAGTACACCAGTTCAAAAAATAAACAATGATTTTTTAATCAGATGATAAATGAATGCATTATCTTACAAAACCCCGAATAACTCTTGTTATTGTTCAAAAGAATAATGATCCCAGGAATATTTCGGTAAATTTTTTAATTTTCTTTGACTAAACACAAACTGAAATTCTAAGTAAAATTACTCCTAGATTAAGAATAAAAATATTAATTATCCCAAAAATGGGATTAGCATTAGTTCTTACGCTGAATTAAATATAGTTTGCACCTGGTTATTCATCTGAGGGTTATTGGCCTTTTTACTTATACATTTTACTCATCAATTTATTTATTTATTTTGATGATTTACTTATACTGGGATATTTGATCAGGAACATCGTGTTCACTGAAAAGCAAACAAAAGGAGAAAGTTAAATTTATCCGGTATTACTGATGCGACTTTGTAATCTCTTAGATCTTCCAGTTTTGATTTTACGGACAAACATGCACATTTTCCTGGTTTTATATATTTTTAACTTAAATAATTTATTTTTGGATAAGGGGTGTGGGTAAAAGCTCACGCATACAAATATAACGAAATATCAATAATTATAAATATATTTCTAGTTTGTTATCAAAATCTTTCTATTATTTTGTTTTGCTCAAGATCAGTTGTCATGTACCCAAGGTTTTTTGTTGCGCCGTTGTCTTAAAAACTTGACCATGGGTACCTGGTTTCATATAAGAAATCCAAAACAGGTTTTCAGTAAGAGGAGTTAGGATTGAAAACGTATCAGATTTTTATCTTACGGGCAAATTTATTTTAGTTTAACGTACGAATCTTTGATTTGAATTTATGTATTTTACATGATTCATTAAATAAAAAGGATGCTTCATCTATCTTGAACCCATGCCTTCAATCATACAGTATACGCAATCAGTATACTGTATCCCTAGCTAAAATTCGTAATTAGAGATATATAACATAGACTTTATAGCCTTTTTTTTAATTTTAAGGGTTCAATTTTGGGATCCATAAAGATTCTTATATATCTTAGTTAAGAAATTGAAGTGCACATCTTCTTGGGCTGTCTGTCACTTAAAACTAATGTAAATTTCACCTTATTTTGATATCTTGCATGTTTTCGCTCACAACTTCTTTTTTTAAAGAGAGTGTTCGCGAAAAATGAAAGGGGTATAGGCTTACAGCGCATTTTTCGACGCATTCGTGTATAGTTAATATTTCATAATATTTGTTATTTGTTTTATTGCGATTTTGTTTCGTCTGGAGCCTATACCCTCTTTCACTTTTCGCGAACACTCCCTTAAAGAAAAGATTTTTTTTTTAATTACTGTAATCGGATAAATTCTTAATCTCTTGCTAATAGGAACCCCATGATCTTTAAAACTTTTGAAAAAATAATTATGGCTTTTTTAACTGAACGTACGGTTTTTTCGAATGAACTTTTGAAAAAAAGAATTGTTTTTTACTGAACGAACGATTTTCTGATTGAACGATCTCACTGAACAAATAATTAAATCGAACAATCGTTCAGTTAGATGGGAAATTAACAATAATTCTGAAAACGAACTAAGGCGTATACAGAAATAAATCTAGAGGGAGGGCGAAATTTGCGCGAAGCGCCAAAAAATTGTTGTCCAATTACCCTGCAGTACTATACTTTATCTCTCCTTCAAACAAAACTAGCAGAAAAAATCTAAAAAATCGACATTTAATTATACTGGTATGTTTGTAATAATTAGTATTTAAGCTCGAAAATTAAAAACTCAACTTAAACTTAAATTTTATGAGATGAAAAAAGGACAAAGGTCCAGAAAATAATTATGACTTGTAAAAGTTTCTGTTTAAAAAAAATAGGAGTACAAATGCTTCTCGTTCATTTAAATGTTTGCTATGACTGGCCAAACGGCTGAATCAAATGGGCTGAATTTTAGTGAGGAAACTTATGGATACCATTGGGGATGACATAAGATAAATAAATAAATTTCACGGGCAACGCCTGGCACTTCAGCTAGTTTGTGATAAAAAGAAAGATTACAACACGGCACGGTGGTGCAATGAATGAAGTAAATTAAATCCAAATAAATAAAACAAAAAGGTCTTTTACTACCGTAAAACTCAAGCCTTCGTGGCTTGGCATTTAAAAATAGTTTTACTTCATGATAGCGCCCATCCGATTAGGATGAATGTGCATTCTAAATAGATTTCCAATTCAGACTTCTGTCATGGTTGCTCTGGTCCATTGAATGAACAGCAAACTCATTTTTTTACTGGGTGTCCCACATCATATTAGATAGTTCACCAGTCAAAACTACGATTTTCGGGACAAATCAGATAATTTAGGAAGAGTGAATCATTGTGAAAAATTGAATAAGTCTAATATAAGAATTTTCGAGTATTATGGGTTTATTTTGGCGTTAGAACTTGGAGATAATCTAATATGATATGAGACGCTCTTGAGTTTAAGATTAAGGGAGGGGCTACTCCCCCCTTTACAGGTAAAGGGGGTACTGCCCCCTTGACCCTCCTGTATACGCCATTGAAAACAAACAAATTAGATTTTTTTCTGTACGACTCGAAAAAAACACGAAATGGGTCGTTAACGAACGATAAGCCACTAATTGAAAAAAACAAACGTCCCCATCTCCTGAACAGATTTTAAAGGTTTTGCCTCTTGAAAAAATATCCCAAAAAACGTGAAAAAATGTGGTCATTTTTGTTAACAACCGCAAATGGCAATCTTTTATTTGAGAAACCCAGGCACCAACATCTATGTTTCATTCATTTTCCAAAAACCAAGAAAATAATTATTTTAGATCATTTAAAACCATCCCATACTTTAGGCAGTTTCTTTTATAGGCTAAAGATAAAAAATGCCCCAATTTTATCAAAAGGGGCGCCTAGAAACTAAATTTTGCAGAACACCCTCTATCATTTTACAGTAATATATCGTATAAAGAATTACTGAAATATCTGTTAAACCTGTGAACCAATCTTTTTTAAAAGTATATGCGGGAAAATCCCGAATTCATGTTTATCTAATAAGATCTAGCCAAGAGCAGGAAAATATTTGTTTTAGCCTTATTTTAAACTAAGCTGCTACATGTTTTCACAACAACCAAATTTGAATAAAAACTCGCTACATGGTGTTGGTACAGGGTGTCCCAAAAAAACATGGGAATTCAGATAGAATTCGATATCGTCTTTGTTATGAATTAGCATTGTAATACCTAATTTCAAAAGCCATAATATTATTATGTCTGTAAGAGTTTATTTTATGAAAAGGGTAAAAGACTGTAAAGATGTGTTTATAATGTCTCCACAAGATGAACAGTGATGACGGACAAGTTTACACTGTTTGTATACCGTATGCAGTCAGAACATAAACAAACAAAATGTGAACATAGCAGACGAAACTCTTACAGATTACAGCTTTCTTAGTAGGTATCACTATACTAAATCAAAGAATTATTTATAAAGACGATATCGAATTCGTCACTAAATTCCCATGTTTATTGGGACACCCTGTAGTTTGTACCAAGAAATGGAAAATTATCAAATTTTAAAACGTTTAAGAAAAGATCATGGATAATTTATCTTCGGAGAGGTTGCCTCGCTTTCTAAATTCTCTGCCAAATTATCCGTTTTTTAATGCGGGGTTATTTATCAGACAAAAGATAAAGTTTACAGTAGATTTTATTTGAAAAACAAAAAACGAAATTATTCATGGAATATGTTATTGAAGAACAAACAATTATTTTGAAAATTGAGGTTGGGATGTTATTGGTGTACATCAAAAAGATTTTTTTAAAAATTCCAAGTTATGCATTTTTCTTCTATTTGTAGTTTTAAATTGCAAGGATTATTTTAACATTAAGGACGAATTATGCGAAATCTGATGTTTATTTACCTAATATTAGTCTAATCTATTAATCTGCTTAATTTAGATAATAGTTGGAATATTTGGCTTGGTCGGAAATAGTGTCAGCATTCTTGTACTGGCATCCAGGTACAGTTAATAGTTAGCAGAGTTCCAGGTAAAGTTAATAGTTAGCAGAGTTCCAGGTATAGTTAAAAGTTAGCAGAGTTCCAGGTAAAGTTAATAGTTAGCAGAGTTCCAGGTATAGTTAAAAGTTAGCAGAGTTCCAGGTATAGTTAATATTTAGCTGAGTTCCAGGTATAGTTAATAGTTAGCGGAGTTCCAGGTATAGTTAATAGTTAGCGGAGTTTCAGGTGCAGTTAATAGTTAGCAGAGTTCCAGGTATAGTTAATAGAAATTGTATGGCGGTAACATCTATCTTTCTATCTATCTCATCATCCAATTAGAGATATGAATCCTTTAATCGGCGCTAACAGTAAATGGAAATATTTTCTTCTACTGAAACTATAGTGGAGTCTTTCTACATACTTTTTCGGACTGCGGTTTGACAGTTACACTTGATTAACATATATCCAAGGAAATGTTTGTTTACAGCTTAATGTACTGCAGTTTCTGGGACAATGTAAACAAATTCAGACTGAGATTAGTTCATATGTCTTCCAGCCAGAAACTGCAGAACACGTTACTTTTAAACAAAGGAAAGAAATATGATATGGTATTAGCTCCTATTCAATATTTATTTCTTGGAAAGAAATATTTATTAATATTATTATAATATCTGGATTTATTAAGTTATTGGCCACAGAGAACCAAGATTTTACGAAAGATGGCTGAACAAATCTGTACTCGTCTTCGAACTGTCATCCTTTGTTGGAACCCAGTAGTTCAACCCTGAACTAATTGAAGACCTATTAAACTTTAATTCAGCAATACAAATACGTACACACAAGAATTTGGCTTAGTTGTTTTGTATGCTTCATGGTTTGTGTTGTGTGTTAAATGAAAGAACCAGGCAAATATATTGATTTTTCTAATGTTTATTTTGCTTCAGGGAGATGAGGAACAGTTTCAACTATTTTCTTATTGTCCTCAGTACTACTGACAACCTCTTCATATTCATCACACTCCTGGACTACTCATTCACTAGAGGTAGTCATTCATTATCTGTACACTACTCATTCACTAGAGGTAGTCATTCATTATCTGTACACAACTCATTCACTAGAGGTAGTCATTCATTATCTGTAAACTACTTATTTACTTTAGGGAGTATTTTATAAACTATACCCATCTTATTCACTAGAGGTAGTCATTCATTATCTGTACACTACTCATTCACTAGAGGTAGTCATTCATTATCTGTACACTGCTTATTCACTAGAGGTAGTCATTCATTATCTGTACACTGCTTATTTACTATAGGGAGTATTTCATAAACTTTCACATCTTATTCACCAGAGGTAGTCATTCATTAACTATACACATCTTATTCACTAGATATAGTCATTTATAAACTATACACATCTTATCCACGAGAGGTAGTCATTCACAAGCTATACACATCTTATTCATTAGAGGTATTCATTCATAAACTATACACATCTTATTCACTAGAGGTAGTCATTCATAATCTATACACATCTTATTCACTAGAGGTATTCATTCATAATCTATACACATCTCATTCACTAGAGGTAGTCATTCATAAACTATACACATCTTATTCACTAGATATTGTCATTCATAAGCTATACACATCTTATTTACTAGAGGTAGTCATTCATAATCTATACACATCTTATTTACTAGAGGTAGTCATTCATAATCTATACACATCTTATTCACTAGAGGAAGTCATTCATAAACTATTCACATCTTATTCACTAGATATTGTCATTCATAAACTATACAAATCTTATCCACGAGAGGTAGTCATTCATAAACTATACAATCTTATTCACTAGATATTGTCATTCATAAACTATACACATCTTATTCATTAGAGGTAGTCATTCGTAATTTATACACATCTTATTCACTAGAGGTAGTCATTAATTAACTATATTGATCTTATTCATTACAGGTATTCATTCATTAACTATATACAGCTTATTCACTACAGGTAGTCATTTATAGACTATACACATCTTATTCACTAGAGGTAGTCATTCATAAGCTAAACACATCTTATTCGCTAGAGGTAGTCATTCATAAACTCTACAAATCTTATTTAATAAAGGTAGTAATTCATTCACTATACACTGCTAATTCACTAGAGGTAATTATTCATAAACTATACACATCTTTTTCACTAGAGGTAGTCATTCATTAACTTTACACATTTTATTCACTAGCGGTAGTCATTCATACACTATACACATCTTCTTCATTATAGGTAGTCATTCATACACTATACACATCTTATTCACTAGATGTAGTCATTCATAGTCTATACACTTCTTATTCACTAGAGGTAGTCATTCATAAACTAAACACATCTTATTCACTAGAGGTAGTCATTCATACAATATACACATCTTATTCACTAGAGGTAGTCATTTATAAACTATACACATCTTATTCACTAAAGGTAGTCATTTATAATCTATACACTTCCTATTTAACAGAGGTAGTCATTATTAACTATACACATCTTATTCACTATAGGTAGTTATTTATAAACTGTACACATCTTATTCACTAGAGGTAGTCATTTATAAACTCTACACATCTTATTCACTAAAGGTAGTCATTTATAAACTCTACACATCTTATTCACTAGAGGTAGTCATTTATAAACTCTACACATCTTATTCACTAGAGGTCATATAGTTATTTTCTAAGATACTATAACTAGTTGTTCTTTTGTATAGTTTTAATTCCCTCGAATTATTTTGTTCTTTTTAACACACTTTTTTCCAAAATTAATTGGTTTTCCAATACAATTTATTATGTTCCACAAAGTTTCATGTTAAAAAAGGTTTACACAAAAGGAGAAAAGAAATCGGTATGAATGATTTATATATCCAGTGGAAATATTACAAACAAGCTGAAGTATCCGGCTTTGCCTGTGGATTTTTTTTAATCAAAGAAATGTTACTCTCGTGGTACTTAAAGGTTCCCTTCAAAAATTAGCCCATTCGGTTCAGCCGTTTGGCCAGCTACAGTAAAAAATTTGGGCCCGATCGGTTCAGCCGTTTTGACGTTTATTGGATACAAACAAACAAACAGACAAACAAACAGACAAGCCAAATTTATATATAGATATGAGCAAAGAGCTTTATTGTATAAACTTTACCATCTCAAAACAATATTAGCTTTTTAATGTTGATTCAGCTGTGAGTTCTTTTCTTCGTTTATGATAAAGCAATTAATTTAGGGAAAAATGGAGTCACGCACCTCTGACCCTTTACTAAAAGTAAATTCAACCTAAAGTCTGAACGCGTCAACCTTGTTGCACCGGCTAGTCCTATTGAGTGTCTGTCCTTATTTACCCAATGTTCAGGCGACACAGTATAAACTGGGACCGGAAAGGTTGACCCGGCTCGGAAATTCAAATGTACTAAGGCTGCCCGTGACGTAAACCCAGACCACTTATCCCTTTCTCTGAGTCATGTGATGTCTCGCAATAGTTTGTCGGTCAGGGATGTTGGTTAAATCATTTGTTTTATTTATTTTGTTCTTATAATAATGATAATAATGACCTTTTATGCTTTATTATTCAAAACATATAACAACGAAATAAAACACAAAATACAAGGAATCTACACGGTTAAAATGGAACAGGTCCTCAAATCTACCTAGACAAAGGGAAAACGTAAAATATTGCTTTAAGTATTTGTACGACACGAAATATTTCGGTCTAAAAAGAAAGGAATTGAGTCTTTGCAAAAAAAACCCAAACTATCGCTATATCTTTGCAACCTGACAATGTAAACCTTTGATATTTCAAACTTAGAATATTTGATTTCACAGAATTTATATTTTGAAATACCTAAGTTCTACGACATCACTTTGCAAATATATAGGGAGCAGAAAATCTGAATTTATATCAAAGATTCAATTCCTTTTGTTTAGCTTAAAGGGACTGTAAAGAAAAAATGAAAGGGGGTATAGGCTGAAAGCTTATCACTTTAGCTCTCAATCGTGACCCATGAAAGTTATATCTGATGTTCCTATCTCGAGAAATTGATTTACAACTTGGTGAAATCTATACGAAAATTAATAAATATATACAATTTTGTATAAAAGTAGTGGGTTTAAAAAGATCAAATTCAGCAAATATGCAACTAATCTGAAAACGATGATATCCCAAAGAAAGCTAATTGTAACTTAGGTTTACTCCAATTCTAATTTTATATTTGTTATTTCTCTGCAATGTTTAAANAATGGCAGTGCAGTAAAGTGGTCACGTGATACAGGCGGAGACACGTTACCAGTATACTGCTCTGCCATTGGTGATAGTTCTGGTCACGTGATTTAAGTTTAAGATTTTCTAAATTTTACATATATGAACTTTCGTATAATTTTAACACAGTTTTATATCAATTTCTCGAGACAGGAACATCAGCCTATACCCCCTTTTACAGTCCCTTTAAAGGAACATATTAAGGTAAATCAGCTGGAAGGTACAGGGGTGAGCCATGGAGTGGTCGCTCAACCCTGAAGCTAAATTTTTCACCCCTGAGCATAAGAAGCATTAGTACATTATACTTTTTTGAATTGGCAACTTTTTTCACGAAATCTTTTTTTAGTGTTCTCCTGGCCGATAGATTTTGATAGTGAAGTGTACGCGATCTTCTTCCCCCGGGTAATTTTTATTAATCTTTCTTAAACAAATAATTTTAAAATTTGGTTTGTAAATTAATAGTTTTGGAACCCAGCTTTGTCTGGAAATATAAGCTCTAAAACAGTCAAGTCTTGGTTTCTTACTCCAACCCCTCCAGATCTGTCACCTTCCCTCGCAAAGTTCAGTACCTGCACATTCCCGTGATTCTACCGAGTTTTCCAATCAAAATTTGTGGAAAATCGTTTATTGGGTTCCTGAGCAATGATCTGACATACAAACAAAGAAACAAACAGAGATTATCTATAACTCTATATATACTAGCTTGCTAACCAAGCTAAACCAAATCTAAAGACATAGGGACATTGGGACCAAAATGGCCACTCGTTCAGTTCTAACGAGTTATTAAAAATTTGAGTGAAATCAGTCAAGTAGTACATGAGTTATGATCGGACATACAAACAGGCAAACAGAGATTACNAAAATGGCCACTCGTTCAGTTCTAACGAGTTATTAAAATTTTGAGTGAAATCAGTCAAGTAGTACATGAGTTATGATCGGACATACAAACAGGCAAACAGAGATTACAACTTTATATTTATAAATAACTAATTAATCCTTTCATTGGAAGATTTTCTTTTCGTCTAAAACTATCCGATATCTAAGAAAATAGAAAAATATTTTCTATAAGAAATCTATAAATATATAATACCTTAATTCAAATAATCTCTTTCGGAACATATTTTCTTTAAACCGTATCAGCAGTGCTTCTTTTTCTGATCGGTTTTATTGTTAATTCCATTTAATTTCAAGATGAGTTAGAAAATGGTATCTGCAACTCCTTTCAGGCGTTTTTTTCTTGCTAATTTTATCAAATTTTTAAAGTTGCAAAATCCAAAAATTTTGCAGACAAGGTTTTATTAAATCTAAAATCAATGTTGATTTCATGCTAAAATAATATATATCACGCCAAAATAAACTAAATTCCACGTAAGATTGAAATATTTTTTTTTTCTCGCATAACTTCACTTATTGTTATTGAAGAGCTATTGAGAAGAAAAAAATGTTAATGCTGTTATGTCACCAAATAAATTTGCCTTTCTCATGCTTGTGCGTAAAATCATACTTGAGGATCAACGAGGTCACAAAGTCATACCAGCAAGTTCAAATTGAATTTGACCTTCTCCTACAGTGATATTGTCTAATATAGGAAATGGTAATGTTTTGGTGTCTCTGCTAAATCAATATATTTAGAACTATCAAATCATTCTCTTTCCAAAGTGTTAATTGCAACAATGAGATTTCCACAACACTGTTTAATCTGAAAACTCAATTCAATTCAATTTTCTTAATTGTTAAGTTTTGTCAAGTATATACTTCGTAAATTGTAAACTTGGGCAACTGCCTATAGCTTCTGAAATTGGTTTTTATAAAAAGACTCTAAATTAAATTGTGGAAAAGAAAGACAAATTGAAAAACTATATTATGCATCTGATGTAGTTATAAAATAAATAGTTTTACAATGTAGCTTGAATATCAACTTATTAGATCATTTACCTATTCCACAGTTTGATGGGTCTCTCTGTATCTAGGTGTTCTATCCGCTCAACAACATCTCCATGACGTTGTCTATCTTCCTCGTCATGGTCATCACACACGAGAGGTGAGCGAAACAGTTTAAAGGGACTGTAAGCGTAATTTCGAGCCAAGATGGCAATGCCACGCACCTCTGACCCTTTAGTAAAAGTAAATTCAACCTAAAGTCTGACCGCGGCAACCTTGTTGCACCGGCTAGTCCTGTCCATAGAGCTAGGTACAGTACAAACTGGGACCGGAAAGGTTGACCCGGCTCGGAAATTCAAATGTACTCTTGGTCTCCCATTCAAGGTTTTCATTTTTTCATTTTTTTGTTACTTTCTACATCTCTAGGAACATCTACAATGTTTGAAATAATCTATATAATAAACTCATGTATTTATATTTGTATATATATATATTTATTTAGCTAAAGCTGGTCAAATGGCTGGACCAAATTGGCTGAAATTTTGTGATACGTACTAAATTTTCCAGCGAACGAAACGTTTCGCGAAAAAGTGTGAAAATTTTCAGTCGCATTTCGCAAACTTTCCCGCAAAATTTCCCTCGCAAAAATGTGAAATGAGGAAATTTCGCGAAAATATTTTTGCAAAATGCGAAATGCGAAAATAATTTCGTGATGCGACAATTTTGTGAAACCCATGAGTTTTATAGTTGCAACAATTAATTGTTTAAAAGAATCTGTGGAATTTTCTGCTCTGATAGCTCAAAATTTTAAGTTTTATTATGTCATATAAATAATTTCTCTTCCTTTACTTTAAAAAATGTTTGATTAAGAGAATTTTGATTTCACTAGCTGTCTTTTCAAGATTCTGTCTGTCTGTCCACAATACATACGTTCAATCGTAATTATTTTTTCGCGAAATTTTCTCATTACTTTTTCACCAAATTTTCGCATTTTCTATTTCGCGAAAATTTCGCATTTTTTCGTGAAACAGATTGGAGCGAAATTTCGGGAAAAAAGCGAAAATTTTCGCATCTTGTGCGATCGAACGAAATGCGAAAATGAAGCGAAATGGTCGCGGAAAATGCGAAATTTTCCCAAACGATTTTTTCTTTTCGTTGGAAACCCTAATACGTACCCGAGGAGTAACATAGGCCAAAAAAATCTGATTTTTTTCTTTAAAAATTTGATTTTTTACTACAAAGTTCGTTTTTTTAGATTCCACGTGCAACGCCGGGCACCCCAGCTAGTATGATTTATTTTTTAACTTTCTATTTTTATGTTATAGGTATATAGCAGTGTGTCACCCTCATGCCTACAGGCAAAACGAGGCGGAAGGTGGGGGAACCCGTGTACTCATCTGTACATGTATAGTTCTCATACCAGCAATCATCATTAACATTCCAAAGGTTTTTTTTTAATATTTCTTCTCTGTAAATATTTTTCTTTTCCATTTTTTACGCAGAATTTATAGAATTTATACCGCGTTTTAAATTTGAGAGGTGGCGATTAAAAATGGTTGGTTCCACTTAAAATTATATTCAGTGTTTCGAGATTTGAGCTGGTACTCAATTGAAACCGGCTTTTGGCGGTTCAGGGACAGTGTCGGTTTAAATTCTTTAAATTCGGCCTCTCGAATTAATTTTAACAACAACAACATTTGTTTAATAAAATCGCAATATAGTTTATAACTTAAACTAATAAATGCACATAGAAAAAGTTGTGCAATTCAAGCAAAAAAGCTCTAAACAATATAATACAAATAATTCATTCAATTTCGATATTTTGCTAGAAATAAAAATGAAGTCAAAATTAAAAAATTATCATCTTAACCCCACATTTTGCTTGAAATAAAAATTAAGTCAAAATTAAACCATTATCATCCCCGAATTTAAATAATCAATACCCAGTTTTTAAATAACCAGGACCCTGAACGACAGAAATTTATCCAAGATATTTTATTTAAGTTTTTCGAGACAGAGTTGACTTTTGAGGACAGTGTTGACAATGAAGGACTCTTTAACAACTACACAGTCTCGTACGATGTTACAGATCTGAGGAAGAATCCAAACTATATCAGGTATAACAACATGGATTAGCAACAATATAGATAGAACACTAGATGTCATCTTTTCAAAAATTTTATAAATGTTTCCATGAAATATGAATGCCTATCGAATCTTCATTTTTTATGTCACATGTTTTCAAAGTCAAACTCTAAAAATAGATTTGATATTTACAGTCTCTATTATTGTATAACATTTATTTGAAATAGAAGTTTTAATGTTTTATTTCAAATTAAATAACTAAGCTGGGAGAGCTAGGGATGTAGATTTAAAGTGTGCTAGATATTTTATCAGCTTTTTCTTAAGAACAAAATTCCTGATGAGAAAGTGGACCATATATTTTTTTGCTCACTTTTCCCCCATAAAAGAAATCAATATACAGTGAGAACCAATTAACTCTGGAATATAAAGACGACTCTTAGACTTAAGTCAATATGAGGCACACCAATTGTGCAGCGTAAACAGGCCCATTTTACTACAATAATATAATGAAAACGACTTTTTATCTAAGTCTTAACTGTTAAAAAACTTTTTTAGAATTGGAAGTAATTCAAGAGAACCTTTTTTAGTTTCTCGTTGTTTCCAACTTTTTGTGTATTTATGCTGTTTAAAAGCCTAATATAAACTAAAATTGAAATCGAAAGTCGTCTTCGTTACATTGATATAATCGCCCACCACAGTGGATAAGTGATCTAGTAACTTACTAGTAAAACTTTTTGCTCAGTAACACTATAGCTCACTCGAGTATTGCTTTGATGTCGTCTTACCTTTCCATAGTTTTCTGGTTACCACTGAAAATTGTTTAGATTTTATGTAAACTGGTGTCTTCTCGTTTTCACTGGTATCATTCCTCTTGCTTTCCTCCTCTTCTTCAACTACAAAATCTTCCAAGGAATTCGGTGAGTTTAAATAATTAGTAATTTTATATTTTAATATAGCTCAAGTACCCGGTGATGCCCGTGGAATTATCTAAATCGAATTTAAATCATTTTTTGATTTTTGAAAAAAAAATTATGTTTTTTTTAAAGAAGGAAAATTTTTGAATTTTTTTAGCCTATATTACCCCCAGGCCCCAGGGTAGTCAAGGGTTCCCTTAAAAAATTGCAGCCCGTTTGGTCCAGCCGTTTGGCCAGCTATAGCTAACATGTATACAGGCAAAAATAAACGAGCGAAGAGTTTTATTACATAGATTTCAAGATTTAGATTTTTTTGAATACTTTTTACTTTCAGTTACACCCACGCTCGCTGCCGTAAATCTCGCTCTGGAGAGATAAACTTGGCCGCCATCTTGGTCTGTATTGTAGTCGTCTTTGTAGTCTGCAATCTGCTCAGGTGACATTATGAGTTTTAAACGTTGACCGCGAAATGGTATAGTCGGTATAACATCATACATCACGAACATATATGATAAAGATAGATAGCTTTATTTATGATCATGAATTGTTTGCCAAGAGTCATGTATAATTATGAAATCGAATTATTTAATTTAAGGAATTTTTCTTGCAACTTAAAATATTTTATAAATCAATTCATATATTATCAAATTATTACCTTTGTTTCCTGTTTGGTCTTTTTGAATTGAATTAGATTTAATTTTAAATCTCAATCTAATATAAAAATAAGCTAATTCATCTTGCATATTTGAAACACATTTTTACTTTAAATTTTCAATTGTTAAAATAAATTTCTTGATTTATTACATGTGCAAAATTCTAGACGTTGATTTGTTTGTTTATTTATTAAAAAAGACAAATTAATTAAAGAATTGTTTTAAATATTTTGCCTTTCAAAATAAATAAACATCTTTTTAGACAAACAAATCAACATGATTACAATGTTACAGAGAATATTAAGCAATGTTTAATGATTTTTTAAAGTTTAATTTTCTTGTATCGTGTGTTATTGGAAGTATTAAAGGTTATTTCAAAATAATCTAATATGTCGTTGATCTATTTAATCGTAAATTTTACAATTTTAACACTAAAAAGCTTTCACTCGTGAATTTTCAAAAAATATTGAAAATTAAAATTTTTCTTGGATTTCTTTTCCAAATGTTGACCAGCCATAAATCTTACCTGGGTCAAGTGAGGACCTACAAACGTTTGAGCCCAAGAGATCCAGTCTTTTTTGGACTTTTATAGGATACTAGCTGAATTGCACTGCGTTGCCCGTGGAATTAAAAAACGTAATTTTGAAAAAAAAATCAAATTTTACAGAAAAAAAGAAATTTCGAATTTTTTGTCCTATGCTACCCCTCAGCCCATTCGGCCCAGCCGTTTGGCCAGCTATAGCTGACATATATATAGTATTTTCAACTTTTTCAGTTTAAATATACATTTTAGATGTTTAAATATATATTTCTTCCAAGACAAAATGTTTCATGGGGTCTAACCCAATCATCAGTTGGAATAAATATATATATATATATATATAGGACCGAAGAGCTTTATTATATAGCAGAGTTTCAAGCGAACAAAAACTTTCGCGAAAAAGTGAAAACTCTTTTATTCGTATTTCACAAGCAATTTTTCGCGAAATTTTGCATTTTTTCGCGCAAACCATATCTTTTTTGTAGCTGCAAAAATGAATTGCGCACAATACATTTGAAATTCTTTATTCTCTGAGCGAGCTCAGCATTCAATGTTTTATTATATCATAATTAATATTTTTGCTCCGTATTTTTTTCGAAAAATGTTCGCATTTTTCGCGAGCGAGCGAGAATGTGAAATTTAGCGAATTTATTTTACCCTTTTCGTTGGAAACCCTAATTTGATACACGAGCGTATGCAGATAGTTTGATCATTATATTATTACAGGGTTGTTCTGAACGTGTTTGAATTGTTCTGGTTGGATAACATATTCAGGTAGTTAATGCAGATTCAGTGAGAATCAGAAACTACGGAATACGAAGTTGACGTTTAGACTCTATTTATAGCATAAATAGTCCACTGAACAAGAGACACAGCTATTGTGCAATGTAAACAGACGCATATTGCTCAATAAGTAATATGATAACTTGCTAGTAAAGCTATTTGCTTTGTAACAACATCAAATTCACTTCAGTTGTGCTTTATTGTCGTCTTCCTATTCTACAGTTTTCCGGTTTGTACTGGTACCGTATATTTCGGTCAGGTTAGTGCGCCACGTCAAACTAAAGTAAAGTGCACTCAGATTGCAATATTACTTATTTGCAATCATAACTCCTCTTACTTTAAAGCTATTGAGCAGAACAACAAAGTTTTGAATTTCTTCAAAATATAGAAATATTGTCTAACAAATAACTCTCAGGCTAATATTGTTCTCTATAGTGTCAGTTTTCACAGGATATTGTTTTTTTTAACCTATGGGAAGTGATCGTGCAAGGCCCGTGCAGATCGCAAAAAAGTCTACAAAGCTCAAAAAAATATTTCTTAAATTTATCATGACATATATCATTTTCTTCGTAATTGTCTAAACAGATTAAATCTATTAAATTTTTTTTTAATTTCAAAAATTGACTGGGTTAGGTTAAGAAAACCTCCAAAAAATGTACTTTTCTGTAAAACTAGCATTCTTGACGTGTTTTTAGCCTGAGAGTTATTTGTGGAGAAAGTCGGACTGAAAAATGGGGCACTCTATCATTCATTCATTAAATTTTCTTTTATTTTATTTCTTCTAGCGTTTCTTTTTAATTTTATAGCTTTTTCTACAGTCATAATCAGAAATACCTGGAATTAATTGACAGGTTATCAGGCGACTTTACATATATAGAACTCTGGACATTTCAAATGCTCAAAAAAAGCATTTTGGAAATGGCAGGACTAGGGCTATTTTGTGATTATCATTTCTTCAATTATATTGATTAGGTGTCTTTCTATTAGAACTGTAGACACTCCATGTTGTTTATGTCCGAAAAATTGCTCCATTTTTTTCAAATTCGTTAGAAAGAGTTCGTAAAATATTTAAAGTATCTATTTAGAAAAAGAAAATATTTAAAGTATCTTTTTAGAAAAAGAAAATATTTAAAGTATCTTTTTAGAAAAAGAAAATATTTAAAGTATCTTTTTAGAAAAATAAAATATTTAAAGTATCTATTTAGAAAAAGAAAATATTTAAAGGATCTATTTAGAAAATAGAATATTTAAAGTATCTATTTAGAAAAATAAAATATTTAAAGTATCTATTTAGAAAAAGAAAATCTTTAAAGTATCTATTTAGAAAAAGAAAATATTTAAAGTATCTATTTAGAAAATAGAATATTTAAAGTATCTATTAAGAAAAAGAAAAAGTTTCCTCTCTATTTCAAATAATTGAAGGATTACAGAAACTATTTTTAAAATAAAATATTTAAAGTATCTATTTAGAAAAAGAAAAAGTTTCCTCTCTATTTCAAATAATTGAAGGATTACAGAAACTATTTTTTTAACTAGAAAACTTTCAGCGATTAAACACAGCAAATGAAGATTTTCCGACAGTTTGTTCTACAACTGTTAAAAGAATACTTTTTTCAGGATTAAACTTGATTTACATACAGAGTGTCTCAAAAAACATGGAGTAAGGGTCTAAAGACTCGTTTTCAATCGGATTTTCAAGATTGAGACAATATTTAATACCAATTAAAGATATTAGTAATGGTCTTAAAAATGTAGACCTTTATTTCCAGTTTTTTAGACACCCTGTATATATTATAAATAATAAATATTCGTTATAATAACATTTTAGACACCCTGTATATATTATAAATAATAAATATTCGTTATAATAACATTTTAAAGGAATAAATGATATATATATATATATATATATAGGACCGAAGAGCTTTATTATATAGCAGAGTTTCAAGCGAACAAAAACTTTCGCGAAAAAGTGAAAACTCTTTTATCAAACATTTTCTAACTAGGTCTTGCTATTTCACCAAGATCCAGACTGTATTGAAAATTTGAATACGTTTTCAAGACTGGGTCGACTTTAAAGTGTCGCAACACCTCGGACTTTGATTTTACCTGATTAATTTAATTATTTTTTGTAGCTCTAGACATTTTTTAGCCCAATATAGACATATACTTTTTGTAGCCATATATAGACATGTACATTTTGTAGCTCTATATAGACATATACATTTTGTAGCCATATATAGACATGTACATTTTGTAGCTCTATATAGACATATACATTTTGTAGCCATATATAGACATGTACATTTTGTACCTCTATATAGACATATACATTTTGTAGCTCTATATAGACATATACATTTTGTAGCCCAATATAGACATGAACATATTTTGTAGCCATAGACATGTACATTTTGTGGCTCTATTATAGACATATACATTTTGTAGCTCTATATAGACATGTACATTTTGTAGCTCTATTATAGACATATACATTTTGTAGCTCTATATAGACATGCACATTTTGTAGCTCTATACAGACATGTACATTTTGTAGCTCTATATACACATGTACATTTGTAGCTCTATATAGACATGAACATTTTGTAGCCCTATTTAGACATAATTTTGTAGCCCTATATAGACATGTACATTTTGTAGCCATATATAGACATGTACATTTTGTAGCTCTATATAGACATGTACATTTTGTAGCCATATATAGACATGTTCTATATAGACATATACATTTTGTAGCCCAATATAGACATGAACATTTTGTAGCCATAAACATGTACATTTTGTAGCTCTATATAGACATATACATTTTGTAGCCCAATATAGACATGAACATTTTGTAGCCATAAACATGTACATTTTGTAGCTCTATATAGACATGAACATTTTGTAGCCCTATTTAGACATTGTTTTGTAGCCCTATATAGACATGTACATTTTGTAGCTCTATATAGACATATACATTTTGTAGCTCTATATAGACATGAACATTTTGTAGCTCTATATAGACATGCACATTTTGTAGCTCTATATAGACATGTACATTTTGTAGCTCTATATACACATGTACATTTTGTAGCGCTATATATACATGAACATTTTGTAGCCCTATTTAGACATGATTTTGTAGCCCTATATAGACATATACATTTTGTAGCCCTATAGAGACATGTACATTTTTTAGCTCTATTTAGACATGTACATTTTGTAGCCCTATATAGACATGTACGTTTATCAGCCCTATATAGACATGTACATTTTGTAGCTCTATATAGACATGTACATTTCGTAGCCCTATATATACATGTACATTTTGTAGCTCTATATAGACATGAACATTTTGTAGCCCTATATAGACATTTTGTAGCCCTATATAGACATGTACATTTTGTAGCCATATATAGACATGTACATTTTGTAGCTCTATATAGACATGTACATTTTGTAGCCATATATAGACATGTACATTTTGTAGCTCTATATAGACATATACATTTTGTAGCCCAATATAGACATGAACATTTTCTATATAGACATGAACATTTTGTAGCCCTATATAGACATGAACATTTTGTAGCTCTATATAGACATGAACATTTTGTAGCCCTATATAGACATGTACATTTTGTAGCTCTATATAGACATGAACATTTTGTAGCTCTACATAGACATGTACATTTTGTAGCTCTATATAGACATGTACATTTTGTAGCCCTATATAGACATGTACATTTTGTAGCCCTATATAGACATGAACATTTTGTAGCTCTATATAGACATGTACATTTTATAGCCCTATATAGACATGTACATTTTGTAGCCCTATATAGACATGTACATTTTGTAGCCCTATATAGACATGTACATTTTGTAGCCCTATATAGGCGTGAACATTTTGTAGCCCTATATAGACATGAACATTTTGTAGCTCTATATAGACATGAACATTTTGTAGCTCTATATATACATGTACATTTTGTAGCCATATATAGACATGTACATTTTGTAGCTCTATATAGACATGTACATTTTGTAACCCTATAGAGATATCAATGCTTTTGATTTTAAACTGTGTATTTTCATTTGCGGGTTTTCTGCAGAAGGGACTTACACAGTTCTTGCTTTTAAGAAGCCAAGGAGAAAATCAAAGAAACAAAATATTTTGTGGACACTCATGGGTATAGCCTGGGGGTGACAAAGGTTAAACAAATTTTTTTGTTTTTTTTATTATTTTTTTTCTAAATTTGTTAGTATTTAAAAAGAATTCCACGGGCAACGCCGGGCCCTTCAGATAGTTTCATTAACCTATTTTTATTATTTTTATTTAGATGTGGAGATGAATTCATGCACGCTGCTTGGTTTCACTGCCTCAACAGTATCAGCCATCTTCTTCTAGGTCAATAATTTATTTAAAAATAGGATTAGGAAAAAAAGTTTTCCGACAGAAATTTTCTGGATTTCTGATAATTTTCTTTGATCGTAAAAGGACCGATTTACATCTTTTTATAAAACATATCAATCAGATAAAATACCGGCAACCATCCCTTAAATAATTTCACTGTGCACAGGGTGCTAGTCTTTTAACCCCATCTATGTACAGCCTGGCGATGGGAGGGTGGCATAGTATTTAGATTTGCAGATTTAATCACAAAATAATTATGGTCTATTTTAGCTTTTTTAACACGTACCACCGGCCTTTTTACCCTCCTGTGTCCTACCCGTTGCATTAAAAAAAGTTTTTAAAAAATTCTTTAACTTATTATTTCTTAAAAGAAAGAAAAAATTAGGTGATAGTGCATGTGAAAAATGATAGTGCTAGGTCAAAACAAAAAAGGGTTTACATAAAAAATTTAAATAAATGAGCTGAATACTCAACAAATATATGTGCAACCTACAAGTGATATTTTCTAACTGTGTCTGTTCGATTAAAGAATTCATGGTCGATAGTTCCTTGCCCACTGTGATTAAAGGGTTTCAAGCTCGCAAGCAAAAATCTATAAGAATTTTGCAAATTACTTCTTAACACCAAGCTAAGAGCAAGTGCTTTATAAAATAAAATGTACATATAAAAGACTACAGAAAAGCATTATTGAGTTAGAGTGGTAAAATCACAGTCGAAAGGCGTTGCGACACTTCAAAGTCGACCCTGTCTTAAAAAATTGATGATATTTTTATAGGCAGGCTTAATCTATGCGTACCTTAAAGGCAAAAAAATATATATAATGTTAAGTTGAGAAAAGTGTACTATTGACCCTTTCTCCATTTTCTTTTTAAAATGAAATATTTCATTAACGTAAAAAATAGTGAAAGATGTGAGGATCTAAGGATTTAACATTTAGGGTCAGTAATCAGGTTGAAGTCTCATTCATCTTCTATATATATATACTTTGCTTGTCTGTCTGTCCAAACGGCTGAACAGGTCGGGCCCAAATTTTGTGTGGGACCTCACATGACCACATGGCAAGGTTTATGGATGATTAAAATTTCAAAGCTTAGCCTACAACAAAATTCATTAAATTTTGAAAATCCACGACATTTAAAAAAAAAATTCGTGAACTTTTTTTTGGTTCTGGTTTTACAATGTATTCAAAGAGAAAATGTTTACAATTGAAATAGAAGATAGGCACGAAGCTCCTTAAATCCTAGTGCATGTAAATTCTATATGCATACATTAATTATGTCTTGAGATATGAGTCATGACTGATATCTCGATAAAAATATTCAGGGCTCATTTAGAGTTTATACCAGTCACTTTCTCCATAGCGACTATACTAATCATAAAGACGACTTGATAAAGACGACTTTTATTCAATTTTATTGATTAGACATAAACATGGAATCAAAGCGAAGCTGTAAATTAACAGCTTCTCTTTGCTTACTTGTAATTTGAAAAAAGCTTGCAGGAAATCAAAACTTAAATAGAAAATTCGTCTTTGTTGTATTGATATAAACGCCGACCATTGTAATAATTATATGTTAGCTAAAGCTGGCCAAACGGCTGAACCAAATTGGCTAATAAATGCTAAAAAAAATAATTTTTTTTTCAAAATTTTAAATCTTTTTTTAAAGAAATTCCACGGGCACTTCAGCCGTATCTATTTAATAAAGACCTTCGCTCATCTATACCATACAGTGATAACCAAAAAAGTCTGAAATAGGGAAACAACTTTTAGAATCAATGAGCATGAGACACATTAATTGTGCAATCTAAACAGGCCCATTTAGCAAAATTAGTGATTAAATAAGTGTCTACCCTAGATAAATCTATGGTGTCTAGTAAAACTATTTGCTTTGTAACAACATAAAATGAACTTCCTATTACATTGTTTTCTGGTTATCACTGTATATATATTTATTTATATATATATTTTAGCTGTCCTTTTTTGCATTTTTTAGCTTTATTTTATTTGATCGTAATAATTATTTTAATTTGTGATATCCTATATGTTTATTTAAAATAATTGATTGGTTTACTATTCATTGATTAATTTATTTATTGATTTATTTTAGTGTTGAACTCTTCTTCAAACTTCCTGATCTACTGCAGTCTTGGAACTAATTTTAAGTTAGTTCTTAGGAAGGTCTTTAACAGGTAAACCTTCTATCTATCTATCTACCTATCTATATATTTATTAATCGATTTATCTATCCATCTATCTATTTATCTATTTATATATCTATCTATCTATCTATCTATCTATCTATCTATCTATCTATTTATCTATTTATATATCTACCTATCTATCTACCTATCTATCTATTTATTAATCGATTTATCTATCTATCTATACATAAATGTAAGAAGAAAAGGAATTAAGTCTCTGGCACTAACTCTGATTTTCTGATCTCTATATCTGAGCCACCCAATTAGCCACCCTGTTAGATCTAAAAATCTAAGTTTGAAATGTCACAGGATTACTCCATCAGGTTGCAAATATAAAGGCATTAAAATATTTAATATTGTGGCAAAGACTCGGTTCCTTTGGAATAAATACAGCAGTCCCCATACTTGTTAACCTGAACATACCTAGATATTACGTTGTACATTGTCTGTAAATCTAAATGCGCTTGTAAATAGCTACGTCTGTATATAACTCTGTCTAATCCATATTGTGATTAGTTTAACTACGTTATATATAACAATGCATAACTTGTAATTACGTCTGTTAATACTTAATCTTTAATGTGCAATCCAAATATAGTTAGTTGTTATAGAGACTCAGCTTTGATTACTGCGAGAGGTTCTTGTTGAATTATACGAGTTGAGATTGTGCCCAATGGTTTGGCATTGATCGATTACTAGCTTGTGTCCATGTTGACATCGATAGGTGTTGAGATCGTGCCCATTGGTTTGACATTGATCAATAACTAGCTAGTGTCTGGTTGACATCGATAGCTCATGAGATCGTGCCCATTGGTTTGGCATTGATCGATTACTAGCTTGTGTCCATGTTGACATCGATAGGTGTTGAGATCGTGCCCATTGGTTTGACATTGATCAATAACTAGCTAGTGTCTGGTTGACATCGATAGCTCATGAGATCGTGCCCATTGGTTTGGCATTGATCATTACTAGCTTGTGTCCATGTTGACATCGATAGGTGTTGAGATCGTGCCCATTGGTTTGACATTGATCAATAACTAGCTAGTGTCTGGTTGACATTGACAGCTGTCTAGATTGAGTCCAGGTTTAGACATTGACAGCAAAGTGAAACTGAGTTGTACCTGGATAGATACGAGTTTGAGGAACCGTTATGGAGTAGGGCATTTACTAAACCTTTGCTTTGTTTTGCACAACATTATGATTATTTTAAAGGAATCATTTTACAGGTCGGGAAATATTAAGACATGAATAACAAATGCAAAAATATTTTGATTAATGTAGGAAAAGTCTAGTCAAATTACTACTACTAATAAAACCAACTAGTTTTTAACAATTTACCTTGTCTAGAGGAAAAGTATATCAATTGTTTATTGTTATAATATTTAGGATTTGTCGAGTAAAGGAGAGGACAAATCTTGAAACTAAGCAGGTCAAATTTAGTAATTTACATCAGCCATTATTTAGCATACTAAGCGCCCGTCTTCTATTTCCCCTTTAAATTGTTAAAAATAAAATTCTGAGCATCCATAAACCTTCCATATATATATTTATATATATATATATATATCTGTATACTAGATCAAATATGAAAGAAAAAAACTAACTAACTTTAAAAGATGAACTGATTGCATTCAGATAGGTAGAAATATTGAATTGTTCATTTAAAAATGACAATTTACGATTAAGATACTAAATACTAAAAACAACGATGAAAAAAAACTCTATTTTAAATCTAACAATCAATTACTTCTTTTTGAAGGGAAGTGAAATCTCAAAATTGAATTTACTGACATTTTCTTGACAAATTACTTAAGATATAATTTAATCAGGATTAAAGTGGTTCTCTCAACAAGAAATTAACCATGTCTACTGTAATTTCCCCTGAAAGAGATTATTTACCAATTAAAAGTGCTAAGAGCAACAAAATAAATAAACGAAGAATTTTCGATTCCTCAAAGATGCCTCTAATTACCTTAATGATAGATTTGAATTGTAAAAAGAACAATATCGATCACATAGATTAAACTTCTTCATTCAAAATAGTTTTTTTTTCTATCGTTTTCAAGCATTGATTTAAATATTAGATATTATTTACATGTTAAATAACTGAGGATTAATATAACGCTACATTACGTGCACCTTCAGACTTTTTCAAACCCTTCATTTACAACTTGTTCGTTAGTTTTTAGATATCCGTTCGTTCGGTATTAGATACCCGTTCGTTCGGCTTTAGATACCCGTTCGTTCGTGCTAAGAACTGATCGGTTCCGTTCCGTTAACGGGACTTTTAGTTCTTTTTTTAATTTTACCGTGCTCACGCCACATGGAAAGGTTTTAGCTGGTCAGAATAAAAAAAACAAATTGCCTCAAAGTTTCGTTTTTTAAACTTAATAATTCTGCGAATTTATTTTGTTCATGTTTGATAATTTAAGAAGAGAAAATGCTGCAAAGCAAAAGTTAGAAGTTAGAATCGAAGATGGGCTTAAAGTGTCCTGGAAGCCTAGTTAAATATATATGTCTCTACTAATGCTTCATTCTTTACTGAGAAATATACTTTTATAAACCCCCCCGAAAAAAAAAACAGTTTTCTTCCAGATCTTTTCTTCTCTTAAAAATATTATGTAAATCTGTTCACGATCTTGCAATCTGAAAGATAAAGATAAAAAAAAATTAAATTTTAAGTTCTATAAAATTTGTAAATTGAATTTAGATCGTGTAAAACACTTTAGATATTATATAAATATATACTAGGCTTTTAGTCTCCATCTACTAAATCAATTGTGAGAATCTTCTCTTTGTACAATATAAAACAAAAACTAAAAAAAGTTCGCGATTTAATAATATTTTTGTGTCAAAAACATTTGGACACAAATTTTTGTAATTTTGAGCATCCATGAACCTTCCCATGGATCATGGTCCCACAAAACGTCATAATAGGTTACAAACAAACAAGAAAACAAGCGAAGTATATAATTAGATAATGATAATATGAATACTGATATCTTCATCCTTTTCTAAACACTCCCTTTTCAGAGGAGAAGTTTGCGGATTTTCTTACCTATAAAGATCTTAAAATGAAAAATATTCAAACATTTTGAATTGCACAAACATGCATTTCTTTTCAAAGAACACTTTTAAAATATGTCACTCTATGCCAGTATATACAATTTCGTGATTTTAATTTGTTTGCTGTTCCAAGAAATTTTCAAATAATGTTATGTAAATACAGATATTTTTGAATTTAGTAAAATTTTTATTTTATCACTCTATGCCGGTATATACAATTTCGTGATTTTAATTTGTTTGCTGTTCCAAGAAATTTTCAAATAATGTTATGTAAATAAAGATATTTTTGAATTTAGTAAAATTTTTATTTTCTAGAATGATATGGATATGGATATTCTTGGAGTTGCAGAGCAAACTGTCCAGAATATAAACGCTATCTCAGCTGTCTCAGCTGTCTCAGCTGTTCACAGTAATGGAATAATTGAAACCTCTTTGTAAAACAAATGTTCTATGGTCCGAAGTGTAAAGGGCTGTAAACTCCGGCTCATTTCAAGAAGCGACATCGAACCCACTGTGATCTTGCCAAGCTATGATTGTTACATACAACGTGTGCTGGGTCGACTCTACACTTGGTAGTCCAGACTGGACATTACTACTCAATGCATTTATATTGCATGTTGTATAACCTGGTAGAGCTGCAAGCTGTTTAGTACACATGGAAACAATTTAAGGCAAAATCGACTAATCAAAGAATTGAAACGGTAAAGATAGTTATTTCAGATGTGTAAGCATTTTTTAGTACTGCTGTGAACCGTTGCTGGGCAATAAAGTAAACATAAGACGGATGTCACACAAAAAATCAATGAAATATTCTGGTCATAGGAAACTATTATGTGAATTAAAACAATTTTCAAAATTAAATGCTTTTAACCACCTTGAATACTAAACGACCACTGATGCATCTATTCTTGTTTACAAACACCGCCCACAGAGAACTGGTTTCAATATGTACGCAGAGAATACGCAAAAGCAGTAAACTTTCCTAGTCTTTTTACCTTGCGCTCAATGAACAATCCCATTTTAGCGAAATTTCTGTGTCTGCAGAAACAACATTTTGCACAGACATTTTCTGCACGGTGACTGGTGACTAAAAGAGTGTATGCAAGGGACAATGCTGAATTCTGTCAGGCTGACATGCTAATGCATAGAATTAACATATTTCTCACTCTGAACTAGACAGAAGGAGAAGGTAAGATTTGAGCAACATCACTGGTACGACTTTGTGATCTCGTATCTCCTCTAGTTTAGATTTAACGCACAAGTATGTGAAAAACAAACTTATTCAATTACGTACCAGATATTCAGATTTTTTGTTATTCTCAATATCTCTTTATTGAGAGAAGTTAAATCCATACTTTAGATCCAACAAACTTAAAAATTAATTTTCAACATTAAGGTTGAACATCAAGAACGGGTTAGTTTGTGTACGTATTTATGTACTGTATGGAATACAAGAGTTTTAAGTGGTGCGAAGCACTCTTACTTCTTTTTTGTTTGACTTTATTTAATGGTCTTTTTCGCAGTAAATCAATTGCTTCACAATTGTGAATGTTACATTTAATTGAAAATGTTTTCAGTCAAATAAGTTTTTCTTTATTGCATAATGTCAAAATTTAGTACACGTGAAATTGTGCACGATATAGAGCAAGAAGGGTTTTTTCTACAACTTTTTTTTATATTATCAATAATTTTTAAAAGTTTCAATCTTTTAATCAAGTAAAGACGTATGCAATGCATTTATGTCGCCTGTAAATATTCAGAGAAAAGGTAATTTAGAATTTTTCATAAACTTTCCATCTATCAAATTATAAAACTTAGAGCTCTGCCAAAGAAATTTAAACTTTAAAGGAATTTAATTTTAGTTAAGATTAAATCACTCTTTTTGTTAAAAAATTATCTAGTAAATAAGATAAGACTTTATATAAATGTAAAAATGTAAACACGTCAACAAATTTACCTTTTTACTAGAATGTTATTATGATCTAGTAAATATCAACAGACTTTATATAAATGTAAAAATGTAAACAAAACATTTCATTTAGTCAACATGTAGACATGTTAATTCTATAGTAGCTATGTAAACAGAGGTGTACGCATTTGATCAATATTAAAAAAGTACGTAAAAATACTATGGCTTTAATCATGATGGCTTAAAAATATTTTTCTATTCATCATGTAACATGTTTTCTAAATCCTATTTTTACGTTTTGAACATTAAGGTTGAACATCGAGGACGGGTTAGTTTGTGTACGTATGTATGTACTGTATGGAATACAAAAGTTTTAAGTGGTGCGAAGCATCTTACTTCTTATTTGTATTACTTTATTTAATAGTCTTTTTTGCAGTAAATCAATTGCTTCACCATGTGAATGTTACATTTAATTAATACAAATGTTTCCAGTCAAATAAGTTTTGCTTTATTGCATTGTGTCAAAATTTAGTACTTTGGTGAAATTGTGCACGATATAGAGCAAGAAGTGTTTTTTTCTACAACTTTTCTTTTACAAGATCAATAATTTTTAAAAAGGTTCAATCTTTTAATCAAATAAAGACGTATGCAGTGCATTTATGTCGCCTTTAAATATTCGGAGAAAAGGTAATTTAGGATTTTTCATAAACTTTCCATCAAATTATAAAACTTAGAGCTCTGACAAAGAAATTTAAACTTTAAAGGAATTTAATTTTAGTTAAGATTAAATCACTCTTTTTGTTAAAAAATTTGAAAACACTTTTTAGATTATTTTTATCTAACATAACGGATTTAGGAAGGGAGGGGGTGGGGTACACCTCGCTCACTGATTTACAGCTTTTACAAAACCATCGGTCAAGAAATCATCTATTTCATCATTCTTTGTTGTTTTTAAATTGATATTTCAATATAAAAGAATCGTTTTGAAACGTTTTGGAAAAGTTATCGAAACAGAAAGTTTTCTTTGCTCCCTTTTTCCTTTTTTCCCTCTATCTTCTATTGGATATGCTACGAAAAAAATAATTACTCAATAAATAAACCAATCTAAAAGCATTTAAACGATTTAGAAATGATATAAACCTAACAACCAATTGAAAAAAGAAATCCTAAAAAATTTTAAACTGAAGTTGAAAGATCTTAAATATATGAAAGTTTTTAATATCTATAAAACAAAACAAACAAAAAATGTGTAACGTTACAATATAAAATGTATAAAATTGAAAATAGTAAGCAATGTAAATAAAAATGTATAACCCTCTAGATATGTAAAATGTAAATACTATACAGGACTAATAATCCTATTCCTGTTTCTTCAAGGAACTGCTGACTTTAATATTTTAATCCCTATTTATTTGTGATTTGGTGGTATAAACCTTTGATACTTCAAACTTTGAGTATTTGTTCTAAAAGAGTTCAATGTTTAAAATATCAAAGGTCTCCATCATAAGGTTGCAAAGATTGAAGAAAATTAGGGCATAAGGAGAGTTATTGCAGTTTCAACAATGTATCCTTGTAATGTAACATTGTAAACTTGGAAACATGAACATGAATATGTTTACATGAAAAATGTAATCCAGTAAACCTGTAATCTAATAAACGTAATTGCACTTTTGGAAATTGATGAAACTATAGATAAATGTGCTGTTAATATACAGGGTGTCCCAAAAGAATTGGGACGCCTGTAATTAATTGTTAAAAGTAAAAATGTAAACACGTCAACAAATTTACTTTTTTACTAGAATGTTCTTATGATCTAGTAAATAAGAACAGACTTTATATAAATGTAAAAATGTAAACACGTCAACAAATTTACCTTTTTACTAGAATGTTCTTATGATCTAGTAAATAAGATAAGACTTTATATAAATGTAAAAATGTAAACACGCCCACAAATTTACCTTTTTACTAGAATGGTCTTATGATCTAGTAAATAAGATAAGTCTTTATATAAATGTAAAAATGTAAACACGTCAACAAATTTCCTTTTTACTAGAATGGTCTTATGATCTAGTAAATAAGATAAGACTTTATATAAATGTATAAATGTAAACACGTCAACAAATTTACCTTTTTACTAGAATGTTCTTATGATCTAGTAAATAAGAACAGACTTTATATAAATGTAAAAATGTAAACACGTCAACAAATTTACCTTTTTACTAGAATGGTCTTATGATCTAGTAAATAAGATAAGACTTTATATTAATGTAAAAATGTAAACACGTCAACAAATTAACCTTTTTACTAGAATGTTCTTATGATCTAGTAAATAAGATAAGACTTTATATTAATGTAAAAATGTAAACACATCAACAAATTTACCTTTTTACTAGAATGGTCTTATGATCTAGTAAATAAGAACAGACTTCATATAAATGTAAAAATGTAAACACGTCAACAAATTTCCTTTTTACTAGAATGGTCTTATGATCAGTAAATAAGATAAGACTTTATATAAATGTAAAAATGTAAACACGTCAACAAATTTCCTTTTTACTAGAATGTTTTTATGATCTAGTAAATTAGAACAGACTGTATACAAATGTAAAAATGTAAACAAAACATTTCATCTGGTCAACATGTAGACATGTTAAGCATTTAATTCTATAGTAGCTATGTAAACAGAGGTGTACGCATTTGGTCAATATTTTAAAAAGTGCGTAAAAAATACTATATGTCTCTCATGATGGCTTAAACATATTTTTCTCTTCATCATGTAACATGTTTTCTAAAACCTATTTTTACAGTTCCAATTTTAACTGACAAATAAGTTGTCGCAACTTTTATTTTGCAAAAATATCTTTTGGCTAAAAATATTTTTGCATTTACACATTCCACCTTTCGCATTAACTTAATACGTCATTTGATTCAAATCAAAATAGATATGGTCTAGGTACAATAAGCATATGTAAACCTTAGATAACTCGCTACCAACTCAAATATTCTAACCCACTAACCTATGCAACCTAATGATGTAAGCCTTTGTTATTTCAAACATTTCAAACATTTTTTATCTGAAATATGTAATTGTTTGAAAGTTCAAAGTTCTATGACATCAGGTTACGAAGATAAAGAGGTTATAATATTTTAGCTAGCTTCTAAATCTCCCTTATCTATGCCACTTACTTTGCTCAGTCTCTCTAGTCTCTGCAACGCCCCGGAAACATAAGCAAAAAAACTGAACAATGCATTACTGTTACTGCTACTAGGTTTAGGTTTCCTACTCAGATCTCTTAATATGTCACTAACAATCCTAGACACCCCACCATAATTGCATATTAACCAGGATCTCATCTCAGTATAGGAGTCCGACAAATTAATTAATTTACTCTTAATTTCTTCCGACAGATGATGATTGTAAAGACGATTAGCTTTCTGCACCGAATTCCCCCAGCCCAGATATGCAATCTCAGCCGCTTCTAAGAACTCATAGACTGTAACTTTTGCATTGTCTGAAAATATACCAACATCCGCTGCATCTCCTTTTGAAGTATTGATACTATGAACCTCTGCTTTGTTGTACAGTTCTTCAACTTTAAGACACCAGTTCTCCGCACGATCCATTAATTCATCCATTAACCCACAGTACTCAGAATCCATACCAGAGAACTTGACATACTTCTGGAGAGATTTTTTCATATTCCCTACAGCAACATGCACAGCAGGTACATCTACAGTTTTGAGCTTCTTGATAAGAGATATATCTGAACCTACTGCACTCAAGTCGTTCAACATGATTTGGTTCAGCTGTTTCTCTGTTCTCTCTATTCCCTTCCTTACAATATCTCGCTCATGCTTGATGGATTCACAGAGCTCCTGGTTTCTGATTGGAGGGTCAATCATCACACCAGCCTGAGAAATATCCAGTATTTGACCTGACAGGTCCGCAACAACGCTTCTCAAACTTTCAGTTACACGATGATTTAATCCCACAGATCCCCTGATCTCTTCAATATCACACCTCATACTTTCCACAGCTAATCCCGGAGAACTATCGTTTATAACATTTAGCAAGGAATCAACAATCTCTCTGGGGATCTCTTCATTAGTCTTTGAAGTAGCATGAATAAACCAGTTCTGGACCATTTCTATCTTCTCCTCAAGCAGCTCTTCGAATTTGCATAGGTTTGCATCCATTCTATCTAATCTCTGTTCATCAGTTTTCAATCTATGCCAGACCTCAGTAGTATTAGATTTAAGAACCTCTACATCCTCTTCAAGCTTCTCAAATGATGTTTGGAATTCTTGTAGATCTATAATTTTCCTGATCACACTCTCTAGTTTCTCCTCCATTGTATCCTGCTTAGCCCTCACAGACAATAACCAAGGATTAAGATCTCCAGACGAGTTGTTCATCCTCTGCACAGCTTCTAATCGGATCCTACTACTATGTTGATAGGTCCGTGGTTGGTTCATCAGACTACCGGGGTCAGGTTGTATCCTAGTGGAGTTTGACCCTCTCGGCATTTCCGACCCACCATTATCATCTGCCATTACAAGAGAAGCACGCCCTTTATCAGAACCCAGAGCCTGCTGGACTGAATCAATTACATCACCATTGATGGTTGGCTGGTTCATCAGGCTACCGGGGTCAAGTACCACTCTGGTAGGCCTTGACCCACTCGGCATTCCCGATTCACTTCTATCACTTAACCCAGGGCTAGAACTCTGTACTCTATTCAAGCCTGGAGCAGGCCTGGCTGGTGCATTCACGAAACTAGGTTCATCTTGGAACACAATATCTTGATTGAAGCTTCTTGCTGATGAAGGAATATTATCACAGGGGTTAACTTCATGGGTTGACCCATCCTCATTCAGATTGAAGGATGCTGGATTAGATCTGGCTTCTGTCAACTGCAAGGCTACTCTCCTGATGGTATTCAATTTGTCCTTCAGACTCGCATACTCATCCGCTAAAAAGAAGTCCCCCCTCGCTGATAAAACATTATTAACCCTCTGCTCAATTCTTGCAGCAAATGTATTATGTTGACCCTCAATAATATCTATTGTCTGAGCTGACATGCTAGTAATCTGGCCCCATTTATAAATTTCAACCTTCAATTGATTAAACTCATCTCTAAATTTCCTATCCATTAAGCTAAAATCCCCTCTAGCCCTTGTACGGATTCTAGGTTCTATACGCATCCCCCTGTGATCCCGATAAGTGTCATCAATAAATCCCGTGGTATTAATATGAGGAGTAGAGACACACCGCGCAGGGTTAAACTCAGGTAATCTGCTAGTCTGAGCATAATCAGGCAGGTTTAAGGTACTACTTAGGATCCCCCCCTCCCCTTCTGAGGTAGATCTCCTCCGACTTGAACCCGGCATTCTGTATAATAATAACCAGAGTCACTCCCCCTGATGATTAAATTCCTATTATCCTTTATAATCTTTCCGAACTTAAGCCGGCAAACATAACGGAATTAGGAAGTAAGCTCAAGTATCAATATCTCAAATCTTGGATGAATTTAATGCTTTATCGCCTATTTGTAGTCTTTCCAAAACTTAATTTGGCAAACCCAAAAGATAAATGATTAAATCCAGCCTTAATATCTCAAATCTCAAATCTTGGATGAATTTTGTTATTCCATTGCCTATTTGTAATCTTTCCAAAACTAAATTTGGCAAACACAAAGGGTTCAATGAATAATTCAATCTCAGTATCTCAAATCTCAAATCTCAAATCTCAAATGAATTTTAACGTTCCCTTATCCATATTATAATTTTTCCAAATTAATTTGGCAAACATAAAAGGTTCGAGGAGTTAAATTCAAATCTCAATATCTCAGATCTCAGTATTTCAAATGAAATCTCAACATTCCGTTATTCCTCTATAATCTTTCCAAAATAATTCTGGCAGACATAGGGGTCCAAGGAACAGATTTCAAAAGAAAGAAAATTATTTACCCTTGAATATCTTTGTAATCTTTCCGGATATTGATCTGGCAGATACTAAAGATCAAGGTATTAGAACTCAATTTTCATTTCAAATTCTCAAAAAAAGGCTAATCAACCCCTCTAAGAGTAATATGTTGAATGTTTCGCTACCAGCGAATACATGTACCTTGTGACTTTCTGTGATGGTTTGTCGTAACCGTTTCTCCCTCTTCTCACACTCATTATGAATCCAGGCAAGAGTTCAGGAATATATTTCAGCGGTTCAACTAGGAAAAACACAACTAGAACTCCATATTCTTTTTACTTTTTATATATTTTTTTATACAGGAAAAAGCCCTTTTAAACGCAAAGACATGAACAAGATGAAAATAAAATACAAATACTGTTAAATTAATCAAATAGGGCTAAAAAAAACCTGTACGTTTACTTTACAGAACAAATACAATATATATTTTAATAAATCTAGCGTAGCTTACCATATTGAGCCTCCACATCAAGTCACATTTCGATTTAACAGACAGTATATATGGCGTCTTACAAAACGTTTTAAGATCGAAATTCAACTGCGCCGAAAAGTGTACGCTAGATTTATACTATAAACAAGTTCTTAGAAACCGGCTTCTGGAAACTTCTGTCCGCTCACAGTACGAAGACTCAGGGGTGCTTCAGAATCTCTTCAGCGCAACCACACAGGGGCCATCATCTTTATAGAACATTACATACGTGACGTGGTCGCGTAACATCTTGTTTGCAATTTCCGCCCAGAGAGAACTGTTTTCAATATGTACGCAAAGTATACGCAACTGCAATTAACTTTCCCTGCATTATAACCTTGGTATGGTTTCTCTATAAGTGCAGGAAAACACTTTTAAACCTGGGAAAACGAGAATATCTTCAAATTATTTATCTGCTAAAGGTTTAAATGATACAGATTTGAATTTGGCATTAATTTATTTTCATGGAATTTCCCTTTGAAATTACTTTTGTAAATAATTTTATGGGAAAGGACTGCCTCTTCAAAGTAAAATATTTTGTTGATGCTAAAATTGCAATGCATACCAATTTCATTGTATCCCCCTGTTGAGCAAGAAAAAAATTTGATTTATAAGTTATTTTTTTCTGATTCTTTTGACAGATTCAGATTTTTATAGATAGAAAAGTACAATTGTAAAAATTAATAAAACTGTATGCAATACACTGTTATAACATTAGTTTAACTAATGTTGATACAGGGTGTCCCACGAAACATGACAGTTGGTGAATAATTTAAAATGTCTTCTTCCATAATTACTTAAGCTGTTTAATACCAAAGAGAATTATAAGAATATTTGATGGTATTCTTATTATAGTAAAATTTATTTCAAAGTAAAATATATTTTAAAAAAAGATTTTATTGCACGAAAAAAATGCAAAAAGTCTTTAATATCTTTTACAGTATAGGGACACCCTGTATCTTTTTAAACCTTGAAACATTTTTGACATGAACTGTCACTTCCAATAATCAAACAATAAGACGCTTTAAAAATTTTTTAGTTAAATTTTTTTGGCATAGTCATTACAAAAGATTTTACAAAATATGAATCCTTTTTAAAAAAAAACAAGATGTTTTTCAACCTAACTAAAGGGGCGGATGAACCCAGAGCCCCCCCCCCCCGCACTAAATAATGTCAATGGACAAATTGTTTATCAAGTACCTATAAAGTTTAGTAACCGCGGAGTTTGTAATTTGTATAGATTTACGGAGTTTGCCATATTGAACTTTAGCGCATTCTGTAATTGAATTATGTCCCTTTCGGCTATCTGTATTCTGTGATTATATATTCTCTCTGGAATCTGGATATCTTATTCCGTGATTGTAAATACTCTCTGGATATCTGTATTCTGCGATTGTATATCCTTTCTGGATATCTGTATTCTGTGATTATATATCCTCTCTAGATCTCTGTATGTGTGATTACTTACCTTATCTGGATATCTGTACTCTGTGATTGTATATTCTCTCTGTATATCTGTATGTGTGATTATATATCTTCTCTGTATATCTGCATGTGTGATTATATACCTTCTCTGGATATCTGTACTCTGTGATTGTAAATCCTCTTTGGATATCTGCACTCTGTGATTGTAAATCCTCTTTGGATATCTGCACTCTGTGATTGTAAATCCTCTTTGGATATCTGAATATTCCTGTAAATGTTTGTAAACACATTACACTCTATTATTCTGAATGTGTTCCGGCTTAAACAGAGACTATTTGTCTAGATCAAGTATCAGTTGGGTTTGGGCGTCTGTTAATGCATCTGTTTGTCTGTCTCTGTCACGGTTTGTCTGTTTTCTTCTTTCTTCTCTTTTCCTCTTCTATGTCTGCTTTTTCTTCTCAATTACTCCTTCCTTCTTCTTCCTTCTCCTTCCTTCTCCTTCCTTCTCCTTTCTTCCCTTCCTTCTCCTTCCTTCTCCTATCATTCTCATCTCCCTTCTCCATTCCTTTCTCTACTCCCTTCTCATTCCTTTCTCCACTCCCTTCTGCACTCCCTTCTGCACTCTCTTCTCCACTCCCTTCTCTTCCTTCTCCAATCTCCACCCCTTTTCCAATCCTTCTCTACTCCCTTCTCCAATCTTTCTCCTCTCCCTTCTCCATTCCTTTCTCTGCTCCCTTATCCCTTATCCACCCCCTTCTTCAAACCTTTTACAATCCTTCTCCACTCCTTTCTCCATTCCTTCTCCTCTCCCTTCTCTATTCCTTTCTCCACTCTCTAGCTTTTCCAATCTCCATCATGCAAAAAATCCATGTTCTTAAGATGGCTACATGAACTTGGTTTTGATTATTTCCTTTTTCAAAATGTAAGAATTTCAAAAATATAAAGTATGTATTTAAACTGTGACTGTGAACTGTACTAGTACCAGGTATTATCCAATATCTTTATGTCATCCATTTTATAATCTGACAAATCCACCATTATTCCTTCCTGTACACTGCAGCGGACAATGCGTAGTGTACACTTGGACATTTTTACCGCATTTATAGAAATAGATAAACCGAGGGAAGAAGATAAACATTCTTTAGTTTGTTATAATTTTAAATACACAATTTTAATTGCAGACCCTTAAATGATTGAAGGTGTTTAAATAGCCCCAATTCAACATAGCTCATTATCGTTGATGAATTACTTTTTAAAGTTTGAAAAAAATAATGAGCGTTACAATTTGACAAAATCAACGATCAGCATAGAAATTAAGACTTGAAAAATATTGATGATTTTTATCGATTTTGAAACTATACAAACAAACTATACATAATTGGGCAAACTATACATAATTGGGTAAGGTCAAAGTTGTGAAAAATTACTGGTATCCTCCTCGCTGATGTAGTTTAATTTCAGTACCAAACCAAGTACAAGGTTACCAACAAAGGATGAGACTGTAAGGACGACCGGAAACTCTCAAAATATGACGATTTACAGGTTGAATTAAATCTTCTGCCTCGAATAAAGTATTTTAGGGCTCATCTTATGATTTGGCAAAGAGCGAAACCTGAGCCCACGATTTAAAAACTTCGGCTCGAGCCGTAATTCCTTAAACCCGACTATAAGACCCAATCTTCAACCGAACTCTGACGACAGCTTGTGTCACGTGATAGACAGCTGCAAGAGCTTCGGCTAGACTTAAGGAGTTCGGCCCAATGAAAATAAAACCGACCTTTGTTGGTTTTAGTGGAGAATAAGGCTCAAAGTTGAGTCTTGTTCTCATAAAAACCCGGAATGCGCCAATTCCTGCCATGAAAACCCACCCAATAGAATATTAAACCGGTTTTTTGAACTCAACTCCGTGGAAAAAAAGATGCAGCTTGAATCCGAAATCAGAATTTTTTTAAATTGCGGGCTCAGTTTCCAGTTTCAGGGAGTTATGAATGAACGGAAACAGACAGTGTGAATTTCGTATACTCGTCTCTGAAGTCTCATCCTTTGTGGGTAACCCTGTATGAGAAACTTTTTGTTCCTTTCAATTGCTTTTTAATGATAAAAACAGTAATCTAATGTGATATGATTCTACATTTGACGTAAAATAAATGAAAATATAAAACGAGATGAAATGTATCAATCAAGTAAAAAAAGAACAATTGGGAGGAAAAAGAAGAAAGCGAAGACACAGAATAAAAACTAGGAAAATAATAAAGTTTGAGGGCAATAATGCCCCCCTGCCACCAGGTGATGGTTGATGAGGGTAATAAAGTAACTTTATGGTGAATATATTATTTATATCTGGATATATCACCCCCGTTCATTAGAGAAATCTTCTTCAAACAACATTGTTTGTGTGTGGAGTGAGTAGTGTCTGTCCGTCCCCCTAGATTTTGTTTATAATATTGCATACCATGACATGTAGCAAAACACTTTGAAAAACATTTTTGGCATAAAAATAATAAACCCAGCTAGGACCTGTCGTCAAAAATTACGAAAATGTTGAAAATTTAGATTTAGAATTTTGAGTTTTGAAATACTTTAGCTGGAACGAAAAGAGTAGAGTTTTCCCCACAAACTCTGATTTTATAATCTTTATATCTCTAATTACAATGCAATGTAGCAAAAGAATTCTGTTGGATCAAATAGTCTTAAGTTTAAAATATCAAAGTTACGTCATCAGGTTTCAAAGATATAAAATTTGAATTTGTGGCTAAGACACATTTCCTTTACTGATATTTTCACAATCAATTTTTTGTAAAAAAATATATGAAATATTTTCAACGTTTTTTGTTAATTTTAAAATATGTGTATATTAATTTTTTTGGCATGAAAATGTTTAAAATATATTTTTTAGTTTTTCAGATATAAAGTTTAACTATCTTTTTACAACGCATTTCTTGTCAGGTTAAAAATGAATGCAATTTTAATCAATTATTCTTTGGAAACTACAGTTACGTTATATATAGTCATAATTTCAATTCTTAACAATTCTTGGAGGTTTCGTGATTTTTACATTCAAAACTGTAGGTCTAGGTCAATATTTGCATCTATCGTGCACATGATGTGCCAAAATGATCTGCCGTGATCTATTCTTGTTCTTGTTCTATTCTTGCTACAGAAACCCACTTCCTAAAAAAGTCACAAATTGAAAAGTGACAAAATTACCTCTTTCTCTTTCCACGGGATCCACGGGATAAAAAACGGTCTTTTTTCTTCTAGTCTTTGCTGCAGAACCCCGCATTGTAGTTAAAAATTTCTCGGGACAAAATATGGCCGTTGTTCTGCTCGTTTTGTTGCATAAATCCGGTTCCTAGAAAACACAAGATGAAATATTTGAAAAAAGAAAGAAAAATATTTTTCAGGGTACGTTGTCAATCGTATGAGATCTTTTTATAAAGAAGATTTAGACAAAAATGCTTTGTTAATTGTTAATTCAAACAATTTTAATTCATAATTGTAGATTTAAACATTTTTTTCTAAAGTATTCTGTAAACCGAAATGTTATTTCCTATTTTAAAACATCTCGAAATTTCATGCTTTTTCATTTTTACATTAAAAAAAAATACATGTTAATACATTTATACATGTCTACCGAGTAACATGAAATTTGATAAGGTTTCAAAATTAATAGAAGAGGGGGGGAGGGTAATTGCGTGGCTAACAATATATAATAAATATTATTAAGATGAAACAAGTTGTAATTTTATAATTAATCGCTTCCGATGTCCATTCTTTAATCTTCTCACTTCCAATAATCAAACAATAAGACGCTTTAAAAATTTTTTAGTTAAATTTTTTTGGCATAGTCATTACAAAAGATTTTACAAAATATGAATCCTTTTTAAAAAAAAACAAGATGTTTTTCAACCTAACTAAAGGGGCGGATGAACCCAGAGCCCCCCCCCCCCGCTAACAACTTTCCATGTTCATATGACTAACGATCGATTGCCAAAATTACATAACTTTCATATTAAAATTTTTAACTCATTTGTTTCGTTAATTTAGAAAAAATATGTCAAAATATTCTTTGCTAAAAATTGCATAATTCAGTCGAAAGTTAAAGCTTGAAAGGGTTTGGTATATCCCTGCTTAGAGGCTGGGTTCCATTAACTCCGGACTATAGCTTGATCATGCAACCTTGGTGGCCCAATGCAGATATATACCTGGAGACATTGAAACCAGATTAAATACAAATTTAATAAAACAACTAAATTGGGGTTTAAGTCCCAAAAGAGCGTAGATGGGATTTACATGGTCAAAAGTGTTAAATGTGATAAATATTGGTCTTTGACTTTGATTTCAGCAATGACTTATTATACCCAAAGTGGAGATATATTGTTGTGTTTATTTGACAAAAATGACCAGCTCTCCAGCATGTCAGACCTTATTGCTTAACAGTGTTGTCTAAATGAACAATCTCACAAATGGAAAAATTCACATCCATATTCCTAGAAATATATGAGAAATAAGTGCAAACTGATCATTAAAATGGCGCGCCGAAGATCCTTTGAAATTGATTATCCAAGTCAGGGTTTAGTGTCGAGTAGATCTGAGAATCAGGAACACAGATCGGACACCTTTGCTACCAGACGTGGGTCCATTGATGAATACAAAAGAGGGTTTAGTACTGAAGTGAATGAACATGATGAGGATCAAGAAAGAGTTGACAATGATGTGAATCTGACAGAAGATCAATATGTGAATTACAAGTTAAAAATGAAAGCTGGAGAAAATGAGTGTGATACTGAGCACAGAACAAATAATCTTGTTTATATCAAAGGAAAGATTGGATCTAGCTCAGGGGATGTTATTGCAGATATATATTGCTGTCATAGAGATTTAGAAAGAGGGAGAATGAATTCTGAATCTTCCCTTGGAAGTCCATTAAATTCAGTAGCTTTGAGAAAAATTTTAAGATCTCCAAGATATGTTAGAGATGATCAAAAAGGCAGATCACGCAGAAAAGAATCCTCAAGCTCTTCAGCTTTATCTTCTCCAGTAGTGTATAGAAGTAAATCAAGAACACATAGTCCACACGTATATCATGCATCACCAACAAGATCCTCAGCAACAGCTTCTCCAAAAGTAGAAAATAGATTTATTGATGCCTTTAGAGATTTGGCATCATCATCGGCCTCTAGAAGAACAGCAACATCTCAAGGAGAACATGTCTCTTCAGGTGCTGCAACTGCCAGAATGAATGCTGATAGAGAAGCGATTGCAAACTATGAAATGGATATAGCTGCATTACCATACAGCCAGCAGGTACGCGTAAAATAAAGAAATAAATCTATAGGTAAAATGAAAATTTATAAAAAAAATTTCTTCTTCTTAAGATTTGTACAGCTTTTGGCCGATTTTGAACAACATGTATTTTTAAGGAAATGTCAGGATATGACAACGAAAGTTTTCTACCAGACACAGAGGTCCCTCTTGGCATCTCCTCATACCCTTTCTCCATCAGATCTATTCCATCCACTATACCTAATATACACGGAGCAACGGATACACAATTGAACCTTGACACACACACTCACAATAGATATCTGGACTCAAACTTGAACCTTGACGAACCACTCTACAGCAATTCTATTTCTACAATTGGACGTCAATTCAGGTCAATTTTTTTTATTTGTGGTTGTATCATTTATATAGTTCATTTTTAATATAATTGATCTAATTTAAAGCCAGCAAATTGAAAGAGCAATCCACGCGCTCCGAGATCCCCCGGAGAGAAGAACTCCTACTCCTACACCCAGTCCTCCACCTAGATATGAGGATGTAACCAACCTTCCTCCTCTAAACACTGACCCAACAGGTGATGTAATCTACTATCATATGATGCAGATATGATTGCTCAAAACATTAATATATAATGTTAATTAATAATAATATTAATAATAATATCATAATAATAATAATAATAATAATAATAATAATAATAATAAAAATTATAATCAGGATATTATGAGCCTACTCCCCATCAGCTCCAAAACAACCCAACAAGATGGAAATGGATGGGACATTGTTGGACCCCAGTACCAGCTCCCTGCACATGTGCTAGGGTTAGTTAACAAATATTTTTATCACTTTTTTCATTTGAAAATCTTGGATTCAAAATTAAAAACATTCGTCATTCATATAAATTCAGATCAATTCAGATCAATTCAGATCAATTCAGATCAATTCAGTGTCAACTTTGCATGACATACTTTTCAGGAACGAGGAAAAGTTAAAAAATAAAAAAAATCTATGTAAAATATTTATGCGCTGCTCTGCATTGTACTGATACTTTTAACAGTGTTTATATTAGGGAGGAGGAAAATAGTAAGGAAAAGAAGCTGTAACACAATACTCATACTTTTAACAGTGTTTATATTAAAGATAAGGAGAAGATAAGAGAAGAAGAGAGAGAAGGAGCTGCACGGCAATACTGATATTTTAACAGTGTTTATATTAAGGAGTAGAAGAGAAGAAGGAGAGGAGAGGAGAAGGAAGAAAAAGCTGCACTACAATGCTCATACTTTTAATAGTGTTTATGTTACGGAAGAGGAGAGTAGAAGGAAGAAGAATCGGCATTACAATACTTATATTTTTAACAGTGTTTATATTATGGAGGAGGAAAGAAGAAGGGGAAGGAAAGGGAAGGGAGAAGAAGCTGCATCACAATACTTATATTTTTAACAGTGTTTATATTAAGGAGGAGGAAAGAAGAAGAAGAAGGGAAGGGAGAAGAAGCTGCACCACAATATTTATACTTTTAATAGTATTTCTGTCAAGTATATTGGCAGGGTTAGCTTACAAACATTGGGAGTTGGTTTTATACATGAAACATCTTAAATTAACAACAGGTAGACATTATTACAGTGCACATTCCGGTTTACATGTAATAAATACAGTTTGAAAATTGCGTTATACATTGTCTGTAAATTTAACTGCACTAATCCATAGCTACGTATTGTGATAAGCTTATCTACGATGATATATTTCATTTAACTGCACTAATCCATAGCTCCGTATTGTGATTAGCTTATCTACGATGATATATTTCTGCGCATATATTGTAAATATGTATAAAAACTTAACATCTAAGATATCCTTGTAAATAACATTAGTTTGTCGAGACTCTCCTTTGATTACGGTATTAGAAGTGATTTAGTCCTCGTTGAAACATTTGAGCTGAAATTGAGATTTGGCATTGATCGCTTAAGAGGTTGTTTGATATTTCCACTTGTGTCCCTGTGTGACATTCAGATCTGATGAGATCGTGCCAATTGGTTTGGCATTGATCGATTAATAACTTGTTGATAGCCACGCTTGTGTCCGTATTGACATTCAGAGCCGATAAGATTGTGCCCATTGGTTTGGCGATGATCGCTTAAGAGCTTGTTTCATAGCTACGCTTGTGTCCCTGTGTGACATTCAGAGCTAATAAGATTGTGTACATTGGTTTGACATTGATAGTCAAAGAGTTTTTGCCCTGGTTAACATTTATAGCTGACCTGGATTGATACAGTTCCGGACAAAGTTCTAAAAGTACGGATTAGTACATACATAGTACTTACCATGAGAAGTTATTAAAACAATTTATTTATGGCTTAAAGTTAACTAACCAACAAGTCTTTAAAATAAAGTTCTTCATATAATGAACGTCCCATATCAGATTGGATTATCTCCAAGCTTACAACGCAAAAATACGCACAGAATAATTGAAAAACTTAGTATTTTCTGCATGCAAATCTTTGTATTAGCAATATACAATTTTTAAATATTTCGTTCTTTTAAGATTTTCTTTTTAGTCCAGGAAATCGTAATTTAAAGCTATAACACGATCCAATATGATGTGGAAATCACTGTATATATTACACATTTGTACGTACACGTTGTTCATGTGGAGGCCGAAGTTAAATAATTTGAATCGCGTCTCAAATTTTAGACGGGGCTCAAGCATGGTTGGTTCCACTTGAAATTGTATTCAGTGTTTCCAGATTTGAGCCGGCGCTTAAAAAACGCTTTTTGTCGGTTCAGCAACGTGGTTCAAATTCTTTAAATTCGGCCTCAGATTTCCCTAAAACTCTATGCAGTATGCATACATTAATTATTAATTAGGCTTTGATTCTGAGTCTGATGAGACCTCAATTCCAATCTGGTATCCGGAGCTACTTGAGATTGCATTTCTGGTGCTTGGCGGAACTATCATTCTGATAGCAGTCATGAGAGATGTTACCAGATGCAGGGATCAGAATTCAGAATCATAGAGGCAAATAGAGATAACTAGATTGATATAAATTTTCTAGAGGGTTTAACAAGTCGAAAAGAGATAAAGTGAAAATTTAGAAGACGCATGGTGCAGATAAACTCTAAAAGTTGCATTTTCTGTACAACACGTACTAAATATGCATTCTGGCATTCAATCTGTAGAGTTGATCCAACACGTTTTATGCAACAAAAGTAGTCTGGCTAGATCACAATGCAATCAGATTTAGAGAATAACTGAGCGCAGATTGAAAAAAACGATTGATTTACATTTCAAAACTATAAGAACTAAAAAATACATTTTTAAAAATATTTTTTTGGCTAATTTATTCTTTTACAAATAATTGAGATGCACACAGAGTTTAATTTGCAATTTTTTATTTTGGAGATATTTTATATATGGCTCAAACTATAATTTTTATGTAAGTGTATTTTTCTAAACTTTTAATTCTGAAATAAGAAATTTTCTAAAGTTTAATATCAAATTAATAATTATTTTTTCTATAATCATGATTACAAGGACTTAAGTTGCAATTAACTATGCTTTTAAGAAAACTTTTCACCAAAAAATATCACATTTGTTAGAAAGTCTCATGACAAATTGCGTAAAACCTATGAAGACCACGAAAGAGTTTCCTCTGCCATCATTGAAGATAAACTGATAAATCTACAGAACTCGACCCCCCCCCCCCCAAAAAAAAAAATGGAAACGTAATAATTGGAGCTTGTCACACCCCCAAGTGTACACAATAAAAGTGTACGCTCATTTTATTTGATCATCAGTCTACTAGCAACCATGAATCAAAGAAGAACTAAAATCAAGGTTTCATGTTCTCAGGAGTGAAGTCCAGGATGTTCTCGGTTTCTTGAAGATGGACTCCGCGAAAGAACGCAGAGATTATGCAGTAAAAGTGTGTATATTTGTTTCAAACCTTCTATGATCTTAAATCTTGCAACTAAAATATTATTTTGTTCAGATTGAACTATACTTGAATAAACTAAATATTCATAAATATCTGCGTGCAAGTTTTGTTTCAAGCTCAACTAGAGCAAATTGTAATACGTTAAGTTAAGTTTTGAATATATAATGTTTTACTTTATGACTCATTTCATGAATGTAATGGTAAAATGTCGTCTTCATAATAATCAGATTCAAATAACTATTTATAACACTGTTATTTTGGTTCGCAGATGTTATAAACTTTTTGGACTTAAATTTTCTCTTTATCGAGAAGGTTCAAGCCTTTTCAGATTTAATTTTGTCCCAAGCTTTATCGGGGGACAAAATAAAATCTAAAAAAGCTAAAACCTTCGAGATATTGAGAAAATTTAAGTCCTAAAATTTTATAGCACGTCGTGCCAAAATAATAATGTAATTTTATGAAGCGTTTGTGTACTTGTTTTATTTCAATGGCTCTTTTAAATCAAATAAGCTTTGAAACAAATCAGAAGACAAAATATACAGTTGATTTCAATTTTATTTTCATTTTAACTGAACAAATGTTTTGGAAATATCCTAATTTTTTGAGAAAATCTGGGAACCAATCAAAACTTTATAGCACAGGTGCTATAATGTACAGCTAATTTAACTGTATAGCACGATGATTACTTTATAGCACGTTCATTATGAAATTCACGATGAAGCCAGAAAGAATGATAAAGTACACAATAGTTTTATAAAAACTTTTAGACTTATATAGAGTAATTTTAAAGTTTTTGAAAAATTTGGTGAATTTTATTTTTATTATTATACGCAGATGATTCTTGTAAAAAAAGTCTTGTTCATGTTTTGGCTGAGAATCGTCAATGCCTCCATTTTCCTGTATTATCCAATATTCTTCTTAATATTATTATTAGATATTAGATACAGTTGTTCTTGTATAGATATTTACTCTAATACAGTAGACTATTGATATTGGAAATTAGTCTTATAGTCTTTCTTTAAGGAGGTCAGGGGCTTATGCAGAATTGTTAACAGGGTGAACTGTTGACCCTTTGTATTGATATGCCTCTGCTATATACTTTATCAGCTTCAATACACTGCTTCAATCTATCACAAACTCTATCCTCTCTACCTCTACACAATCCATAAAAAACAAGAGTTGGGTAGAACTGTCCATATTTAGATATAAAAAGATGCAGGTAAATAAGTTGACCACAATCAAGACCAAGAACTAAAAATAAATTATATTTAAGAGTTACAAAGACATAAACAAAATAGGGGGTTATATTACAAATGAGGAGGGGGGGGGGGGAGTGTTGAAATATGTAGATCTCCATTTTCAACAGCTAATCAGAATTAGAAGTTTTTACGTGTTCTAAAAGGTAATCCTCTCTAAACAAAATCTAGTGTATACGACATCCCAGATTTGCAAAGCAGATCAAGTCTCCGCAATACAGTAAATGAGTCCCAGCTATTCAAAATAGTTTCCTTAAAACTCTTAATTTTTACATGCCGTAAACCATGTTTTGTATTTTTTAGAAAAAATGGCATAAAAGTTTATCAAAGATAAGAAGTATTAATCAATTATTATAAATAGTGACTAACTATGACTAGTAAAGTGGTTTAAAAAGCTTCAAACATTGTTTACGCAAAAAGGAAAGCATTTATCGTGAAAAAAGTTATTTTATTAGATATTTTATAATATTTAAACTGCAAACTAACCAGAAGGAGAAGTTCAAATTCAATTGACATTACTGTTACTACTTTGTGACTCCGTTGCTCCTCTAGTTCTGACTTTACGCACAAGTAAAAGAAAAGCTAACTTATTTGTTTATATATTATAAATTCAAAACATTTCTGTTCTTTTCAATATCTCTTCAATAAGAGAAGTAATGATAAAAAACATATAAGTTATCAATCTTACTTTCATTTTACTTTAGTTTGACGTGATTTGATTCAAGCGATTCATTTTTTGAAATTTTTATCATAATAAGATAATCAAATATTTTACATTGACAAAAAATCTGAATCTAAAAAAGATTCCCTAAAAAGGGATATGCTTAGATCAAACATTAAAACAAAATGATTCACCTGAATGAATTTCCAAATAGCCTCCTTACTGCGTAAGAAATGTTTTATTGTAAAACATAGATCTTAAAAACCACTTTATGAGTCAATATAAGTTACAAATCATCACAATTAATAAACAACATTAATCTGAAGTAAAATTCTTGTGCCACTATGCTGAAAAAATTAAAAAGTTCTATATTACACGAAAAAATCAAGAGTTATAAGGAAGCTGTTCTGTATAGTGAAGGCTCGTTTACTGCATAGTGGAGGCTCGGTCTTCATGACGGAGGCTCGGTCTGCCTAGCAAATCTGAGAGGCTTGTGTCTGCATGGCGGAGGCTCATGGCGTCAGGGGGTTCCCTCCCTCATCGAACTCAGCAGTCAGCATGCGCGTGCCGCGTTTATTTTTCAAGAATCATCTAAGGAGTGAACAGATTTCCTGTTTTTTCTTTCACAGTTTCCCGGCGAGATAAAAACATCTTTTACACGTCAGCAAACCTATTTATAAATCAAAAAACATAGAAAATCATTAACAAAAAACAAAAATATTTTTGTTACTTTAATTACTTTATCAGGACCAAAGCTGGCATTTCAATTATATCTATATATAAATTTGGCTTGTCTGTCTGTTTGTCTGTCTGTCTGTCTGTTTGTATCCAATAAACGCCAAAACGGTTGAACCTATCGGGCCCAAATTTTTTGTGGGACATCTAGGGACCCCAGGGAAGGTTTATGAATGATTGAAATTTTAAATATTTGTCTCCATCAAAATTCGATCGTCATTAAATTTTGGAAAATTTTGAAAATCCGCGAAATTTTTTGTGAAAATCCGCGAATCATTTTTGTTTTGTTTTACGATGTACACAAAGAGAACATGTTCACAATTAATTTAGAAGATGGGCGCGAAGCGCCCTCTAAGGCTAGAAAGAAGGGCGCGAAGCGCCTTGAATTTCTAGTGTTTTTATAAATGAAAGATCTCAACTTTTTTAAGAAATAAAAAATCTTATTGAAATGTATGACAAGTTTCAGCTACACTAACCCACGTACTCTTACACTCTGTAAGCAATATTAAAAACATATTTCTAAAAGCTTTTTTATTTTTTATTTTATGTTTATATAACTATAGACAAACATCATGTGATACATTAATTTCTAATTTACATAATAAATATCTATACATTTACATAAATATCAATAAATAATACAAATATCTATATTTGGCACAAATATAATGATTATTTTATTCTATGAATATTCTCATGATCGTTTGGGGCCACAGCACTTCTGAGAGGAGGGGGGGGATGAGACAAATTGGTTTATTTAACATATATTTTAATAACAAACTATATTTGAGTTTTTGCCACAAACTCAATTTTTCTCATCTCGATATCTAAAACTTTTACTATCTGATAATATCAGACTTTGTAATTTTAAATATAAAATGTCGGGTTGCAAAGATATAGATATTAGAAAATCATGGTTTGTGGCAAAATCTTAATTACTCTTTAGAATTTTTACAATTTAGACTTTTTGATTATTCAACAAACAAGCTTGAGTAATTAAATAATTAACAGTATTGTCAACTCAAAACTTAAATTAATATGCAAAACTAAACCACACATTTTAAACCAAGGAGTTGAGTGTTTGCCACAAAGTCTGATTTTCCTATCTTTGTAATCCGTCGTAGACCTTAGATATTTCAAACTATTATTACTTAAAGATAAAATAATCTAAGTTTGAAATATCAAAGGTTTGCACCATCAGGTTGCAAAGATATTGGGATCAGAAGATTTGAGTTTGTGGCAAAAACTCAATTCCTTTGAAATTAATATCGGAAAGATCAATATTTTAATTAAAGATTAGATTTTTGATTTAGAAGTTTAGTTTAATTAATATAAATTATATGTCTCTACGATTTTAACTTCACAAATTGAGCAAATTAAAAGATTAATATGAAATTTGCATATTTTGGCATTCTTAAACCAATAAAACATATATTAATAAATAAAACTATTTTGACTATTTTTTACATTTTTTGTATAAGAAAGTTCAAGGAAAGTTTAAACAATATAAAATAGGTTTATTGTTCGGGTTATGGCTACTGGATTAAATCCATATATTATTAAAAATAATAATTAAGTTGATCACAGATAAATTGTATTCTTACGATAGATTACATGGTAATTAGATTGAATTACAGGAAAGTTTTGTCACTTCACGTTACATTTTACAAATGAATAATGTTACAATTTCATGCAGCGAATGTAATACTAAATATAAGTTGATTTCCAATTCAAGTGCTAAATATCAGTCAATAATCCATAATAATAAGTCTTTGCATTTGTGGAAACGTCGCACTCGCATTTTACATTGTATATATATATTACCATCGCAATTGTATATATATTTTGTAATGT